CAAAGTACTGATTTTTAACTGGAAGACCGTTTTTTTACTCCACCTATGGCTTTAAGAAAAATTCCAGCACATTTCCCGCCTTAAACCCCCTGCATCCAACGAACTTGCGACGAACTTTGTGCGAAAGATGGAAAACGAGCGATGATCGGATGCTTCTGTCGAAGTGAGTGATTTTCGAAATAATCTCGGAAAACGGTTGAAACTTCCTATTGACAAAAAAAAAAGCCAATTTCGCCTATAAAAAAAGGAAAAAAACTTTTTTTCAAAATCTGAAGAGCTTCTTTTTCTTATGATTTGAGGCTCAAAAGAAATTTGGTTTCATTTTTTTCAAAGTATTATTTCTGCAAAAATATATTTACTCGTACAAATACGGCGGAACACTCATCATCTTCAAAGTCCAGTTATTTAGGAAGGATGAAACAGTGAAGTGTGTTTTAACAATTTCAGCCAAAACTTTTTACTCTTTTTAAAAGAAGAGGTTTTTCTGAGAAAAATAATCTTCAAAATTCAAGTTTTTCATCCAAAGTAGGCAATTTTCGAGTTTTGGAAGACAAAAATTGGAAAAAATAAGCTTACGAAGAAAGGTTTTTTTTTCGAAATCGGTTCCGAATAGTACAATGGGGGTATTTTATATTTTTGCCCCTTTAGGGACCACTAGAATGTCCGCTTGGAAGAAGCACGAACAAAAACTCAAAAGACCGCATTTGAAAGCTTTAGGGGACTCTATAAGGTCGTGAAGTGGTCACTAGAGAGGATCCCTAAGGTTGCCCCTAAAGTGACCACTTTGAAGTTCCTAAGAAGGTCTTGAAGTATATTTCAGTCAAGTTTCTGTGAAAATTTTTAGTGGCCCCTATAGGGTTTTGATGTGTTAGTGAGGACTACAGTAGTCAAATTAGTGGCCACTTAAGGGGTTAAAAATTAGTGGCCACTATAACGGTCTAAGGACAACTACTAGACCACTAAAAATGTTAGTGGCCACTTTAGGGGTCAATGGATCAACATAACTGGTCCAATCGGTTTGTTTAAAAATTATCAGAGTTACTGGGAGGAATACTGCATGAAAAACTACTGAAGTGGCCACTAAAACTGAAAATAGTGGCCCCTTTAGCGTCCTCTCCAAGTAGTCCTTGGCTAGCCTCTATAGTGGCCACTAATAATTTTCCAGTTCATCAAAAATTCAGCCAGGGGGGGCGGGGGCAGTTAAAAAAAAAATTTTCCAAGCTAAAATGCCGAATTTCCACATAATTTGATGAAATAAACTAATTTTTCAGGCTCGGCTGAAGGTCAAACGATGCGGACGTGCTTCTGTGGGCCTTCCAAACTCGAATCCAAGAAAAAAGTCATCGTTTTCTAGCGCCTTACTTATTAAAAAATGACCAAAAATGCATAACTCAGGGTTTTTCCTTCAACGTCTAATACATTCTATTGTACATGTTTTATTATTATTTTTTTAATTATTCCGTAATGAAAAACTTGTTATATTTCTGCACTCAACTTGCTGAAAATAGTCCATATCTGGCTATTTTTTTCAAAAAAATCTTCAAAAGTTAAATTTCTTGGATTTTTTTCCTTTTTTTCAATGTCATAACCTGCATTGATTTTTTTCACATAAATTTAAAAACTTCCTGTCAAAAAAAAATTTTTTTCTGTGAAAGTATGTTCAACTAGCAGTGTTCAAAAACCATGAAAACTTTTTGATATTTGCCTTTTTTCCATGGGAAAGGGTTGAAATTCAGCCAGAAAACCAGGATTTACAAGAAAATTAGGTATAAACGAAATTTACAGTTAAAAAAACCACATTTCCTCGTTCAGTTAAACATTTTTTTCTTCTTTTTTCATCTTCTCAAAATAAATGTACTTCTCGATTTCAATATATAAATATATTCTCAAAAATTCGCAATTGTTCAGTCTCGACTGCATTCTCTGTGATTAGGATCCCCATGGCCGCATTTGGAATGGCTAGACGCCCGACTCAAAACAACTTGCGCCAACTGCTAAGTTTCAACAAGCCGCGACGCTTAGAGCCATTCCAAATGCGACCGAATTTCTCTATTCCAGACCAATAGACTAGTTTTTTATCACCCAATGTTTTAACATCCTTTTCTCATTGTCTACACTTCTAGTCTTGAAATTCTTTTCTTCTCGGATTATCTTCTCGGAATTACTTTACTTCTCGATTTCAGTATATATTCATAAATTGTCAAAAATCCGCAATTCTTCATTGTAGAGTTGTGCTCAGTATCCTGTAAATTGGATCCCCATGGTCGCACTTGGAATGGCTCGACGCGTATTTTTAAACGGGTCCGACTCAAAACAACTTGCGCCAATTGCTAAGTTTCAACAAGCCGCGACGCTTAGAGCCATTCCAAACGCGACCGAAACTCTCTATTCCATTTTTTTTTCAACAAACCTGTTGTTAAGTTCTTCTTCTGATTGATACCTATTTCTAGTCTCAAAACTTTTCACATTTTCTCCCAAACAATTGACACTTTGTCAAGCCCATTTTCCTTCGTTCTTCCAATAAAATTTGCCTTGAAATTCCTTCATTCAAAGGGAGCTTCACACGGTACACAGCCCCCATTAAAATATCACAAAAAGATGATAATAAATTAGAAAGAAACGAAGAAAACCGTCGCGTTTCGGAGAAAAAAGTTACTCGTCGTCTTGGAAAATGGACTTGAGCAGGTGCTCGTTCAGCAGCTGCGACTCAGTGAGACGGAGAGCCTGGAAATTCCCAATATTAATGAAAAATGAACATTTTTTTATTCCTTCATTAATTTTATTAATTAAAAATTAATTAAGAAGCTTTGATATATTAAAATAAGCAGAATTATTTCAGTAAAAAAACATCTAATATTTTTTTATGTGTTCACAAAAAAACCTTTAAAAAAACAAAGTGAAACATTAATCATGTATTGCCGGCAAAAAATTTCATTCATTAATTTCTGACATTTAGAATGAAAGCTTCATTCTTGGAAGTGCGGAGACGATCCCGATCATAGAAAAAAAGTAGAAAATATTCGGAAAAATTAAGAATATGACTATTTCCCAGCAATATTAAATGATAAAAAGCGCTTTTTCACTTAAAAAAATCCTAAAGGATGTTTTTTCAACTTCAAAAAGCCTTGAAACTTCGGTTAAAAAAACCGCAAAAACCTAAAAGTTTGGTTAAAAATCTATGGATACCTCAGAAACTACTTTAAAAATCGAAAAAACTCTCAAATTTCGATTACAAACTCAAAAACCTGAAAACTTGGTTGAAAAAAACCACAAAAACTTCGAAAATTCGATTGAATCCACAAGATCTCTAGAAAATCCATTAAAACTCCTAAAAACCTTAAAAAAATTACTTTTACAAACCACGAAAAAAACTGAGAATTCCTTTAATAAACCACAAAAAGCTCAAAGAAAATCCTTTTTAAAAAAATCAGAAGAGCCTCAAAAAAATTGGGTTAAAAAAACACAAGAACCCTTCCAGTTCGGGTAAAAAAACTATAGGAACCCTTTTTTTCGTTTGGTAAAGAACCACTAAAAGCCATAAATGTTGAAATGAAAAAAACATAGATGACTTGAAAAATTCTTCAAAAAATCAGAGGAACCTCGAAGTTTTGTTTTAAAAACCACTAGGGCCCCTCAAAAAAATCGGTGAAAAAAACTATAAGAACCCAAAAAAATGGGGGAACCACTAAAACCTTGAAAATTCTTTTTAATAACCACTAAAGCTCTAACCATTGACTGAAAAAAACAATAGTAAGCCTGAAGAAATTTTCAAAAAATCTGAGGAACCCCAAAATATCAGCAGAAACCCACAAGAACCCTAGAAACTCCTTCAAAAGACCTAAAACGAACGTTTACCCCGGCGACTGCCGTCGAGGACGTGGTTCAGCCAGGTCGAGTACAGTAACCGGTCGAGGTAGGCCAGGAGACGGTCGCCACGCGTCGCAAACTTCTTCACAACTTTGCCCATCAGGTGTGTTTAGTCGAATTCGTAGGGGAATAGAAGTCGAAAAGATCCGAGTCAGTCGAAAATACGTGTCAGATTTGATTGAATCGAGGTGTTCTGTAAGGAAAAGTGTGTGAATTAAACGAAGCATGAGAAATTTGAAGATATTAGTGAAATGAACGGAAATGAAGGATTTCAATACTAATGAAAGGTCATTGAAACAGAAATTTCAGCTATTCAGAGAATTTTCGCGATTATGACGTCATAAATCGAATCGTGATGTGTAGTTTCAGAGAATCGTTCAAAAAAATTTAAAAATTGAAAAAAATCGAAAGAAACATTTTTCTGTTGGGCGATTTGTTCAAGTTGAAAAAAATGCAAATAATTTATTTCATGAATGTATTTTTAAATTTAAAAAGGGGCGAAACGGTCTCATTTCGAAAAAAATTAAAAAAATGATTTTTTTAGCTTTTTTTCAAAAAAACTTTTTTTACGTTTGAAAAAAAGCCATAAACTGAAAAATTTTTCGAAAAAAATAGGGTTTTAACTCCGAAAAAAATCAAATTTTTTTCCCAAAAAAATGCCCCTGAAAATAAGTTTTTCGAATGTTTACTTTTTTTAAACGTAAAGCCGCGTTTATTGACTAGCAAACCATAAGAATCCTCAAAAGAACCTAAATTCTCTGAAGAAGAAAGAACCGCAAAAGCCTCTCCAAACATTCCCCAAGAACACCACTTCAAAATGCTTATAAAGGGGCTGGAAAATCAGTAGGCGTGTCCTGAGAAAGTCTCGCGGAATGATGGAAGAAAAAAAGAAGAAAAAAAGAAGAGAATAAACAAGCAAGAAGAAAAAAAGAAAACAGTGTGACGGTTCTACGGCCATGACCGGGAGAGAGGAATTTTACTATTAATGGGGGGGAGTTTTTTTGATTAATTATAACTATAATAATAAGAAAAAAAGGCTTTAGTACTCTAAAAACAGCTATTTAAAAAAATCATAATTGAAAGTTCTGTGTGGAAAAATTGCCTATCAACAGGAAAAAAAGATGAAAAAAAGTTAATTTTTTTGCGCATTTATGACGAAAATTGAAATTTTTCATGACAGAACTTTGGCTAGTCAAACTAAAAAAACTAATCAGGCCGAAAAAAATGAAAAAAATATAGCCCATTCAATGTCCTCTTGATAAGAAAGTACTCTAAAAACGTTCAAAATTATTTTTTTAAAAAGAAATTTTTAGAAAAAAATATCGCTAAATATCGTCATAACCAGCGATAAATTAACCAAATTCAACTCGTATAGGAAATTTTTGATCGCATTTAGAATGGCTCAACGCGTAACGGTTACAATAAAATTGCGCCCGACCAAAAAACGACTTGCGCATTGGGAATCCAAGGAGCCGCAGCGCGACCGCAACGCGTTGAAAAATTGTAAGTGTAACGATTTTTCTCCCAAGTGAAGGTCAATTTTCTAATTCTTTAACAAGTTACTTTGAAGCAGAAAAGTGAGTGAATAAATTATTTCTGTGATTTCTTTGGAAAAAAAGTAACTTATTCGAAAAGTTGAAAAAGTTTCCTTTATAAACTTCCCTCAAAAATTAATTTTTTTAAGCTGAAAAAAAGTTTAAATGGAGAAAATGGATATCAAAAAAAGTAGGTCAGTAGAAAATTCATTGTCAACGGAACAAATTTTTTTCTGTTTCTGGCTCAAAAAAAACTGAAAAAAACTCGGAAAAATGATAAAAATGTCTCGGGAGCCGTTTTTAAATGAAGAAAGCTGCTCAAAACTGTTCGCATTCTAGAGATTTCCGCAAATCGATGAAACAAGCAGAATAAAGCTTCAAAACCCAAGTAAGCCTGGAGAAAACTGTCAAAAACTCCACAAAAAGTCTGCTTAAATAACAATTCTAATTTCGATTCCTTAATTTAAAACAAGTTTCTGAGTTGAATTCGACAAATAAAACATCCTGAACCTCAGAAAAAAACGCGGAAGTTTCAAAAAATCAACAAAAATAAGCTCCTTTTCAATTGAAACCACCTCGAAAAACATGAAAACAGAACGTTTCCCACGCAAAATGGTTCGATTTCAAAAAGCCTTTATCTTTAAAAAAAGTTTTTTTTTCGTCAAGAACCTTCTAAAATTGTCTCGAGTAAATAAGGCCACACGATTCCCATGTGAAAAAAACAATCGAATCAATCAAAATTGACATAGTCACAGGACCTGGGGAATATAAAACCAATGAACAGAAAGGAAAAAATCCGATATCTGAACTGTAAATACGTTTCGAGTTGGCCAAATTTGTTGAGGTTTCTTTTTTTGGAAGAAGACCAAACTGCAGAAATGAGTATACACAGTTTGCTTTCAATTTTGACATGAAAAATTCACTTTTTTCTGTAAAACTCTCTCGTTTCTGCACACTATTTCGCTCCCAGTCCATTTCTCGAAAATGCACAATATTTCCAAAAATCTGTTAGAGACTAAAAGTAAACGCGGAAAAATGAAAAAATGAAAAAGTGAAAATGTAAAAATCTCAAAATATGATGCCTTTCGAGTCAATCAGATCTGCTCAGGAACGCCAGAGTGATCACTGGAGGGGCCACATCAGCAGCTTTTGCTGTCTAATGATCCCTTGAGGGGTGAAAGATTGGGAGACCACTATAGGGACCACTTAAGCCTTAGGGATCTAGGATACAGACTTTAAACTTCTATAGGGATCAACTCGATTTTTGTTCTCTAGGAAGATCTACTTAGGGACGCCAGAGTGGTCTCTAAAGGGGCAACATTAGCAGCTTTTGCTGTCACCCCTCCAGGGATCCCCCTAATGATCCCTCAAGGGGTGATAGATTGGAAGACCACTGAAGGGATCATTTAAGCTCTGGAATCTAGGAAACAGATTTTAAACTCCTATAGAGATCAACTTGATTTTAGTTCACTTGGAAGACCTACTACCCTATAGGGACTGTTTTCCGTAACCCCTACAGTGGCCACTCTGGTCTTCCTGAGCAAGAACTTGTAGAAAGAGGTTCTCGCACTTTTATATAGTCTAAGTGGTCCCTTAAAGATATTAGTATGAAAAAAGGCAATGAAGTAGTCCCGTAAGTGACGGGATTCGAGTGATAACTCATTGAAGGAAAATCCAAGTGACCCCTTAAGGGTATCAGAATTAACAAAGACGATGAAATAGTCCCTTAAGAGGCGTGATCCGAGTGAAAACTCATTGAAGGAAAATCCAAGTGACCCTTTGAGGATATTGACACGAAAAAAGACGATGAAGCAGTCCCTTAAGGGACGAAACACAGAGGTAAATCCAAGTTACCACTCAAGGGGCTTTCGCATTTCAAGGAGATGAAATCTTCAACCCACAAATAATCTCCCATTTCCGCTGCAATCCTTAGCCTCCCACAATTTGTCATTTTTCGGTCCAAATGGAAAATAAACGGTTCGTTGAATCACACTCAAGTTGGCCAAACAGTCCGCGTGCTTCTCGGCAAAAAAGTGGTATCGGAAGGAACAAGTGACGATTCGCTCAACTTCCCGGAACAGTCTTTAGTCTTGGAAAAGACCGATGATGTGATTTTATTTCGGAAAAAGAAAATTAGGGGTGAGTTTTGTTTCAAGCAGATTTCAACCCAAACTTTTAGGAGAAGATTAAGACGATTTTTTATAATTGCTTATAACTTTTTTTCCGGTCTTTAATTTTGATAGGTTATTCAAAATTGACTAATTAATCAAGATTCGCTCAACTTCTCGGAACAGTCTTCAGTCTCGAAAAAGTCCGATGACGTGATTTTATTTCGAAAAATGAAAGTAAGTTTAAGTTTTATTTCGAACAGTTTTGAATCCGAATTTTTTTAGGAAAAGCTTCATTTTTTTAGTTTTTTTAAAACACTTTCGGATGTATCTTGTAAAAATTGGTTCAAAAACTGTCTTGAGACATAATTCAAAGACATTTTTCAAAAATTTAACCAAAAATTATCACAAATAGAAAAGATTATCACGTCTTTATAGCCAACTCGTTTCGTTACAGTGATGATTGGCGTTCAGTGATGTCCAAAATTTTTCATTATTTTTTTCAATCATTTCCATTTAACCCCCTTCTTTAAAACTCTTCTTTTTTTCTTAAACATCTTCCTTAAAAAGAAGCACTTCTTTTTGCAAAAATTCCTGTTCGTTTAACTTTTTTTCAAAGGAAAATAAATAGATCACAGCACAATTTTACTTTTCTTGTATTGAAAAAACTTCGAAAATTGGCTTGTTTTTCAATTTTTATGAAAGAGCCTAAAATTGCCAAGATCCATCGAAAAAATCCCGACTTCCGCTTCGTTTCGTTTCTCTTTGTGATTGTCTATTAATAAAGGATGTTTTATTTGAAAACATTTATCGACCTCCATTTTCCACAGAAAAGCTCTTTTTTGAGGATAACTCAAGGAATGAAATGTAAATTCTCTGCAAAACTCTACTCGAACCAGTTCGTTCCAGGTCGTGCCCAGACGGAAACGAAAAAGTTGAAGGTTCAATGGGAAGAAAATGGGCAAGTTCAACGAACGATTCCGTCATTGGCCGACTGTATCGGAATTGATAACGGGGCCGTCTTGGAAAGTTTCTCAAAATAGAACCAAAAATGGTGGGAAATATATTGCAGGCTGGTTTTTCTGCAGCTATCAACAAGACAGTGAAAAATCTTAAAAAGACAAAAAACTTTAAGAAATCGCCTATATAAGTAAAAATTTGTAGATTTTAAGTGAGCTCGACTAAAAACTTTTTTACAAGTGATTTTTCCAATTTTTTTCTTGACAGATCTGGGAAAATTTTTAGTGGTCACTATCGGGTTTCGACGTTTAATTTAAAATGGCCACTATAGTAGTCAAATAAGTGGCCTCTTAAGAGGATAAAAATCAGTGGTCACTATAGAGGTCTAAGTGCTACTGCTAGATTTTTTAGTGGCCACTTTAGGGGTCAATGGATCAACATAACTGGTCCAATCTGGTTTTTTTTAATTATCAAAATTACTGGAAGTAATATTGGATGAAAAACTACTGAAGTGGCCACTAAAACGGAAATCAGTGGTCACTATAGAGGGGGGTTTAGTGGCCATTTTAGTGTCCTCTCAAGTAGTCCTTGGCAAGCCTCTATAGTGGCCACTAGAAGTTTTTCCCAGGATTACTTCCCATATGAAAAGATCATTAATGCGACTGTTTCGAATCGTCTTTTCTTAACTTTTTTCTTTTTTGAACTCAGAAAATTCATTTTTCTGCAGAGGCCTTTCTAAAATCGTTGGAAACTATAAAAAAATTTTTTTCTAATGATATGTTTGCTCCAACAACAACTGGTTTTTTATAGTTTACCATTTTCAACTTAGTGAAACAAAAACATAATCCCTTGATAAGAAAAACTATTTGAAACGGTGAAAGCGTTTAACGCGAAAAATTACTTCGTTCCCGATCAAAGTATATTCCTCCTTGAGAACTTCCCAAAAGAACCATTGGAACCCCATTCAGATATTCCACAAAAATGATTTTACCAACTCTTTTTCGGATCTATAATTTTTAGTGACCATATTCTTTTGAAGGTACCTACTCGTTGGAATCTCTGAGAAAAAAACTTTTTTCACGGCCCCGCAACCTAGGATGAGTCGTCTCTATAGGGGCAAAATTTAAGTGGCCCCCATAGGGATTTGGAGTCTGATTTCTAGCCCCCTGAAGCGTAAGAGGTCCCTACAGTGCTCTTTAATTTTTTTTTTTTGATTTGACGATGCTTCTTCTCGTGGAGTTCATACCCAAAATGTCTCCTATAGGGGCCACTTTTTCAATATTTAGTGCCCTCGCTGGGGATTGGTAAAGTGAACCCTAAAGAGGAACCTTCAAGGACTCCTAAGGACTCCCCTCTAGGGACCACTTTGGAGCTCTTAATATCGATTTCTACGAAAATAACCTTCTTGTTGACGTTGAGCAGCGTCGGAATGGAGGTGAGCTTCAGATTCGGGTCAGTTCGAAACGGCGAATCGGACGATTTCCAGGTGTCGCGGTTGCCGACGAAGCAGGTGATGAACACCAGATCCTCGTCGGTTTTCAGGTTCTTCACGAATTTCTCGACGACAGGCTCAGCTGCAACTTTTTTGTCAAATTTTTCGAAGTTGCACATGAAAAGCAAAAAGACTAAAAGAAGACTATTAATGACAATTTTCTAATTTTGTCTTTAAAAAAATCTTTGAAAAAAAATTAAAGTTTCCCCTAGTAGAAACCTTCCACACAGTCCGGGCACCAACTCTTCCCGGTACTCAGGGATTTGCTGCCAGTGAAAAGGGCGATGATCTTCTGGCCCTTCAACGACTTGATCGTCTCTTGGTAGCCATCATATCCGTCGGCAGTGAGTTGCTTGATCGACATTCCTGAGAAGAAAAATTGTGACTGAACAGCATACGATAAAAGAGTAAAATACGAGTTTGATATGATACAGATAAAACAGTAATCACTTGTAAAATTGGCCGAAATTATAAAATTTAGTTTTCTCACTAGGGAATGGTCTCTTTTGAATGAGACTGAGTTCACTACATGCAGTTTTTCACGCTGATTCCAAATCTAGTCTCAAAAACCGCCCTCGAGGCTTGTGAAAAAAGTAAGGGTCCTCAAAAAACGAAAATTTCAGTGTCTATTTTTCGAGGTTGAGTTTTTCGAGACTTCAGTGTCTATTTTTTGAGATTTAGCTATTTTTCGAGGGTACATAGTCCTTGTTTCCTTTGTCACAAAAAAAAACCATGTAACTTTTTCAAAAAGGTCCTGGAGATCAGATATGATTTTTTAAATGATTTTGAAATCAGCGTGAAAAACTACATCTAATGAACTTAGTCTCATTCAGAAGTCTCACTGCGAATGGAGACCATTCCCTAATGAAAAAAAATCATAATATTTCAAAGTATTCAATTCAAAGAACTCGAAAGAAGAAACTCAAAAATGATTTCCACTCCTTTATAAATATTCAGCAATCGAAAAATAACAGTAAGTATTCTCAAGAAATAAAACAAACTGCCAACTTTTTTAAATGATGCGGGAAGAAGTTGAGTATGAAAGGAGCTGTGTCCAGTCTTTTGAAAAATTTTAATCTCTAAAAAAAAGTTCGAGAACGATTTTTACTGCTTATAAATCAGAAAATGAGCAAAAAATCAATCAGCTGACTAAAATGAAACTTTTGCGTGAGGACGTGAGGTATAAAAAGGGCTCATTTCATGGGAAGAGCCATTTTTCGAAAGTGACAACCGATCTCCGATCGTTGTCCAGCTCGTCGTCGTCGGCCTTCGGAAGGAGCCGTTGACGTCGTCACAATGCTCGTGCCGCTGCTGCTCCTCGTCGTCGCAGCCGCACTAGCCTATTACTTCCTCAACAAGGTTCCCACTAGCCTTCATCCAGAACAATATCAATTCTGCAGCCTGCCCCTGGAGGTGCCCCGAAATCATCGAAAACTTCGGCGCGCAAGCAGCTCGAGGTCGAACCCACACAAGTAAGGGTTTTCTTGAAACCTTCAGAATTATCATAGCTTCTGAGAGGATTTTCAAGCTGGTTCGAGTTCAAAATGGCTTCTATTCACGCTGAAACTCGAAAAAAAGTTCTAGAGACCTGATCCTTGGAAAAATAACGTTAAAATCGATTATTCAAAGTCCTGACGACTGTAGCCATACTAAAATCACGTCGTATAGGTTTTTTGACGACAGGTCAAATATAATTGAAGTCTTTTTGGGCTCCATTCGAACTAAGGTCTTCAAGTTCTGGACAAAAAAGCCTTTGGCCGGATAGAGACTTTCTTCCTACCTTCTAAAATTTGAATTGAAAATCTGTCTAGCAGTTTATCCGTTGTCTCAAGCCTTTCTAAACCTTTACTGTCCTATGAAAATTTTCTGATAACTAAGCATGGCTTCAGCTGTACCGAACTATCAAAAACACGGAAAAACCTCTTATTTAGTTCAAAATACGTCTTTGATGCAAGTCCTGAGATCCACAAACATGATTTTCCGAAGACAAACCTCTCATTTGCCATTTTCAGCGCTGCACAGTTCGCGAAGATGTCAACAAGTCGCCATCGGCCCGCAGCGACGTGAACAAGCCGTCTTCCGTCCGCAGCGCTGGCAAGAAACCATCGCCGCCCCGAAACGATATCCCGAGAGAGCTTTCCAGCCAAATCGAGCAGCCGCTTCTCCCGTAAGCCTTCTGCTCCCCATTGTTCAACAAATCTCAAAAAATGTAGGCCGGTCCAAGAACCAGTCGCTCCTCCTCCGCCTCCGCCAGCTGATCCTATTCCGCCTCCGCCAGCCGATCCAACTCCAGCTCCGCCAGCGGATCCAACCCCAACTCCTCCAGCTCCTGAGCAGCAGAAGGACTACACTCCGTCGATGACCTTGGTGCCAGGTGGAGCTGCTTCAGTTCCTCGGAACGAGTTTGCCCCTTCGTCGCGCCTCGACGCCCAGAACACAGCCGAGACGAATTCCACCGCGATCCCGCCGCTCTTCTACGTTCCTGGCGGAGCTCCGCCGCCTGAGGCTTCTGCTCCATCTCCCGTCGTTCCCGATCAGCAGCCTCCAGCTCCGTTCCTCAACCAAGCGCCGCCTCCCCAGCATGACTACGCCCCGTCGGTGGCTCTGGAGCCTCTGTCTCCTGGCGTCGCTGCTGCAGCTCCTCGCAACGAGTTCGCTCCGTCGTCCCGTCTTCCCACCGAGCCTGCCCCCGCTCAACCCGTCTCCATTCAGCTGGCCGGTTCTCCGGAAACGAAGACGGCCAATGAAATCGACAACAACATGCCGGAGAGCGATGTCAAGACGGCCAGCGAGATCAGCAACAGCGTCACTGGGACCAACACGGGCAAGAAGTCTGGATCGAAGCGTAAGAGGAATGAAGTGAGAATATCATTCATTTTTGAAGTAATGATTTCGGATTTCAGCATTCGAAGAAGAAGAAGCGCAGCAAGAGTCGCAAGTGTGAGTTTTTCATGAAAACGATCAAAATTTACATCACGATTAGAAGAGGTCAGAAGCACTATAAAAAATTCAGCGGCGAAGAAGAATAGAAAGTCGAAGAAGTCGAAGAGCCAAGATTCTGGAACCACGAGCCAAAGCGAGCCGGAGAAGGACGTAGCCACCGCCAAGGAGCCCAGTCAACAGCCTCTGCTGGTCGGCGCCAGCCCTGAAACGGACGTCAAGACGGCCAAGGAGGACTTTGGTCCAGGAACCGAAGAGCCCGGCGTTGCTACGGCCCGCGACGACGTTCAGCCGGAAGCTGGTCTGAATTTATCGAATCTCTAAGTAGCTTAGAAACGATGGAGGGGTCCCTAGAGGGCTTAACGGAATTTAGAAAGACGGGCTAAGCTTTTTTTTGCTAGAATTTGGTGGTTCTAGCGTCATCAAAAACTCAACCAATCATGACATTTCCAAAAAGTTTCAACTGGAAATATTTGCAAAATTTGAACTTCCACATCTTTCAAACCTTATACCTTTAAACCCTGAATCTCGCTTCAGACGTCAAGACGGCGACGGATTTGGGATCGGATTCTGGACCGGAGTCTGGCGTCGTGACGGCTCAGGAAATCTCGACCACTACGGGGTCTTCGACCACCGGACACAGCTCGGAGGTTGACTTCGTGGTTGGAATGGAAGTTGGTAACTTGCAGGATAAGTCGTCGAAGAAGGGATCCAAGGGAAAGTCGAAGGATCGTAAGAAGCGCGGTAATACTTTCCGGTGGCTTTTATTATAGAAGGGACTTTTTTGCAGCAAAGACTGGCAAAAGCAAAAAGAAGAAGTGAGACGGCCACTGAGACTCATCACCAACACGATCATTCTTCGATTCAATAAACTGTTTGAAGTAAAGAAAAATGATCAAAGGTGCACTAAAATGAAGGCTATGGTTAACGGAACCAAAAGAAGCTCAATTTGCCATCCCAAATTATCCTTCTTGAAGAAACGAAAAAAGTCTTAAAACTGATTGTTCACTTGATTTGATTTCTGAGTAGTCTGATTTTACTAGGACATAGGTAACTCAAAACGGACGTGCTCCGGACGTTTCTGTGCGTTTCTAGTGACCACTTTAGTAGCGTCAAAAATCTTGAGTGGTCCCTAGACTCATTTCCAAAAAGAAAAGTCATATCGTGCTTGCATTTTGAAAGAAGTGTTCAAAAAGTTCCAAAAAGTCAAGGCTAAAAAGCCCAGAAGTCCGAAAAGCTCAAAGGTCCAAAAAGAACAAAAAGTCCCAAAAAAGCCCTAAAAAGGCCAGTCATTCAAACCAAAAGTTCTCTTAAAATAAGATTATTCTCCAATTTTGAAAAAAATAGTTCAAAAAGTTTAACACAAAATTATATGGATTAGAAATTAGTCAAAAATTACAGAACTAGAAAAAAAGAAAATTTCGAAACAAGGTTTTATGAAACTGAAAAAAAAAATTTTGAAGTGGAAGGCTAGTTTCTGTGAAAAAAATGTGGGAGTACATTTTTTTGCCCTTTTTCCATAAAAAAATGTATAGTTTTCAAGTTTTTTTCACAACCTTTCTTTTTGAAAATGGGGTCACTAGGACTGGACTACACCAAAATGAAAATACTCAAATGAAGTGAACAATCCAATTTTTCGATGTTTTGTAAAAGGCATTTTTGGGATGGCAAACTGTTTCTGTGCTCAAATTTATTCCGCCATGTTGAAAATAGCCGTCGGCGAATGAGAAAGATAACTAAAATTTGGAGAGTCAGAGATAATTTTGCATTTCGCGAAACTTATTTAAGACTTGTCCTGCGAGAGCTTCCACTCAATTCAACAATTGAAGAAAGAGCAAGAAAGTGAAGAATAGATACGAAAACTTCGTGAAAAACAGTGGAAAACAACCAGCTAAGTCCAAAAAGGCTGATGCAACATGGTCAGTTTATCGCAAAAGACGATAAATGACCGAAAATCGATAAACAATCGCGCCAATGATCATTCCAAGATCAAATTACAAATCAAAATAGTATCAATGTGTACGTGACACCATTTCAATACGAAACAAAAAACCAATATTCGTTTATTTCGAATCATCGATTGACTATTCAATCATTTGACCCGTGAAAAGAGATTCAAAGCATTTTTGGTGTTACGAAATTGGACGAAATGGAGACTTTTCGAATGTCGTCACTCGGATTTGTCGACGAGTAGGGCGAATTCGGGTCTCCCGCGGGCGTACTCGTTGAGGGCTCTTTTGGCCGAGGAGCCGATTCCGACACGGACCGAGGAACGCGAGAGCCAGTGGGTGCTGAAAAAAGAGATTTTATGGATTTTAAAACCGATTGAAAATGAAATATTTTTTTAGTGATCCTCAAATGGTGCCAACGCCTCTTAAGTGTTCCCTTGAAAGAGCTAGAACCGCCTTTATCTTCACAAGTGTCCATAATAAATGTGAAATTCGTGCTTAATTTTTTTTTTCATATTCAACTTATTCTTTTTGGAGCTCTGCCAATGTTCTCAGAACTTGAAAAAGAGTAGAACTCGTTCAAAAAATCGGAACTCTGAAATAATCCCAGAAAAAGCCCATAATTTTTATCTTCAAGGCTTCGAAGCTTCCATTTACCTGGACGTGATGCCCTCGCAGAGTTTCTTGACCTTTTTCACCTGCCAAACGGTCAGAGCGAGGACGACGAGGGTCGCCAAGTTGAGCACGATCGGGAGGGTGCTCGTCATCGCCACCCACATGGCCATCGCGTGAACCGCCTCAAAAATGATACTTTCTCAGGAAAAGAGCTTTAAGGATGGCCAGTTTCCTTAGAATCTTGAGATTCAGTACAGTTCTGATTCCGAAAAACGAGAGCCAAAACTTGATGAATTTCAAGGAAAATATCTTAAACTGTCATATATAGTCTGTTCATATTTTCAATGTCAAGTGCAATGACGTCATTCAAAAACACTCTGTGGATGGCTAGCTCTCTGATTGGTTTGTCGCACCATTAGGGGCGGAGCTTGAGCGACGACATGAAATTTAAAATCTGAACAGACTATGGCCGATTCACGGTTAGCTTGGGAAGGAGGCGTGGCCTGTCTGCGCCCTTCACGAACCAGACACTGACTCTTCTTTTTTCGTGTCAGGACCCTTTGGTCGATGGCTCAAGCTAGCCGAACAGTTATATAATTTTAAAAAAAACCTCAGTGCAGGTTCCATGTTTGGCAGCCAACTGCGCGTTCGACATACTGGGGGACATCGACATGTTCCGCCCCTAGAATCCTCTGAAACAGGGTTCATCTTCAGAAGGCGATCAAGATGACCCACCAAGAGAAGCCAACCAGAGAAGTCAGCCGCCAAGAGAAGCAATACTAACTCATACGGTCAACTTTATTTATCTTAACAATCACGTAAATATATCAATTTCAACATAACAAGGTTGGTTCACAAAAGGTAGAAATGAGAGAACAATTATCATTGGAGCGCGACTACTTGAAAAAAAAGCTTCCCATTCAAAAGTTTAGAGAAAGTTCTTTTTCAACTGGACATTTTTCGAGCAGATTTTGGATACTCCCCTGGCTTTTTTTGGATGAAATTTCAGAGTCCCTCCATAAAAAAAAATGCAAAATATTCAAAAATCTGTTCGTTGGAGCGCAAAAACACTAAATAAACAACTCCACAATCAAATTGGCGATTTTTTAAAATTTTCGAATATTTAAAAAAACTCTTCCAATATTATACTTGAAATTTTTAAAAATAAGAGAGCTCTCTGATCATTTTTTTATGAAGTTTCTGCGCTCCAATGAGCCAAAAAGATTAAATTTTTCTAATTTTTTTCATTGAATCTTCAAAAACAAATCAACAACAAGGAATTGATAAAGAAAAAAATTAATTAATCTCTCCAAATGACATTAACTTGGTCAGTTCGATATCTCTGTGTGAAAGTCGCCTTGGAGACGTCCGTTTTGAGTCCAGCTTCTTAAGAAAAACATTGAGATGAAATAAATCTGGCGAAATCAACTGAAAACCAGAGTGACATCAAGAGAAAACTGGAAACTAAAAAAACGACTGATTTTTTTGGGGCCGGGGGAAGGGGAGATCTCACATAAACTTCAAGATTTTCCATTTTATACAGCCTGGTTAGTAGAAAAACCATTCTAAAAGCCCTAAAAATCGACTTGAAAACTCGTGAAGCGCTCTGAATTAGCATTTCCCATCAGAATTATGCCCTTGAACTAGATTTTCACATGATTTTCAAGCCAAAGACTCCAAACCGAGCATCAGTTCCCCAGCACGAGCGATCATCGCACCGTTGTCGATGCAGAACCGTTCGTCGGTGGCGAAAATGTGGGCGCCTCGCTCTTCACACATTGCCTTGGCCATTTCCTAGGTGGATGATCATTGATTTGCATAGGTCAGCTACTTTTTAGCTTGTCTAAAAAAATTGAATAGATAATGAAATTACGTAAAAATTATTCACAAGGAAAGTCAATATGCTTCCCGGTTGGGATATTTCTAAAATTTGACCAGAACACTCCTTGATGTACCAGATAAAGATTCTAAGAGTTTGAATCTGCATTAATTCCAAGGAGGATCATTTCGAGGCCAGGGAAAACCACAAGAATCGGCGGTATAAAAAAGAACACCAGCGAAAATTCAAACGGCGACTTTTCCGATTTTTTCATACCGCTATGGAACTTTCCGACTAATACTTTTCCGACTTTTTTTCTCGATAAACTCTTCGTTTTGAATCTTCCTATATAAAGTAGGTAATTGGTTCATGATTAAAACACAAAGAAATAGGAAAAAAAAATGTTTATAGATGTTTTATAAACCGAAAAACATAAGGGAAAAAAGTCGGAAAGGAATCCGTCGGAAAGGTGGCCGTCGGAAAGTTCCCCTAGCGATATCAAAAAATCGGAAAAGTCGCCGTTTGAATTTTCGCTGGTGGTTTTTTCTTACTACCCAAGAATCAATAAAATAGTGTATTTTTGAGTTTATTTTCGAAAACTTGGAAATTGCGCACGTTGAGATTTTAGAACCTTTTTGGTACATCAAGAAGTGTACTGGAAAATTTTCAGGAAGTTGCAAACTTCGAACTAAAACTACCTCCCTTGTTAGTAAGTCTGTATCCCGTATACATTGAATCAACTTTACTGACAGCTTTTGAAGTTATGTTTACACACCTTTAATTCACATACATTTAAAAAAAGATTATAACGATTGCTTATGTAAACTTACGTAATAATAGTTCTTATCACATTTCAATGAATACAAACGTTCATTGAAACATTGAAGATATGTTTTATGTTATTTTTCCAAACTTTTAAAATTTTCTTTGCAGTTTTTGATTGACTACACGTTTGGGCTTATAGTTCGCCAAAGGCGGTTGTTCGTTTTAGCTTTAAAAATTCTTGTTCATCGCCTAGTCTATTACATCTATGACTAAAACAACAAAATTAAGTGTCAATATTCAATGAATGCTATGTCTTCAAAAGGAACATTTTTTGCTACTTGCTGATTAAATTTGTAAACTTTCGACTTCCATAAATCAATGGAAACCGTCGTAATTACATTGAGAACGCAGAGAAATGATAAAAAATTCAATTTCTCCCTTGAAATCCATCTTCATAGTACTTTTCCTGTTTCAATGCATAGAATCGAGACATTTCTTCCAAAAACCACTATTGCTCCTTTTCTGACCGTCCGTTGCTCACGAATTGTTGAATGTCCCGTACTTCAAAGAGAAAACCGCGGAAAGGAAGGGAATTTTGGTGCGGAAAAGAACAAAAAGGTCGGCTACAGAAAAGGCGTCGGAAGATTCTTTGTTCGGAGCGTTTCATTTGAATCTTCATGTGGGAATCTTTCTTTTTTTTTGGTTCGTGAGAAAACTCGCTGACTTGCGTCAAACAATTTGTACCAAAATAAACAAAGTTTAAAAAGGCGAAAAAAAGGCGAAAAAAATAAATAAACTAAAATAACCTCATAAAAAAACCTGTTATAAACTCCTTTACATGTTTTTCTTCTGATTGAAAAAAAGTTTTAACAGAGAAAAAAATGTTTTTTCAGGAACTTCTCGGTCAAAATTACCCCGAAGCTCAAGATAACTGTAAAAAGTATTTTTTTCATGGACCTGCTATCGCAAATTACTGTCAATTTAAACTTTCAAAAGCCTAAATTTGGCCCCTTTCATATCATTTTTTTCAAACTTTCCCGATTTTTTTATCAAAGAAAAAAATTCTCATAACTTTGAACCTCTTATAAAAAAATGTTAATTTGAAACCTGCAATCGCATATTACAGCCGACCCCGCCAACGATGAGCAATTCTCGGCTTCCAGTGTGTGCCATCGCCCGTTCAGTGATCTCAACCAACATGGCGAACACCGTTTCCTAGAAAATATTGCTTTCAATCAAAGAGCTGATGAAAACTTGAACAATCAAACGATTGAAATCTTGAAACAGAAAAAGTTTTTGATGAGATTTTTTTCAAAGTTGAAGATTTTTTTGAAAATATTCAGAATATTCATACACGAGGCAACAAGTTTGAAATACGAGAAAACGTAGAATTTCAGACTCGAAATGAATTTTTGAAGCTATAAATGATAATTTAAGCATTAGAGCGAAAATACAGGATCCCTTCTAGGTTACAAACTTTTTGAGTTAAAGTATGATTTTTACTACATAAAACTGATGTAAAAAATTTTTGAAACCTTTCAAAAAGTTTCAAGTGGCTTCTTGAGGGATTTAACTCCCAACTTTCGACTTTTAAGAATCATTAATTCATTTTTCAGAGTAATATTTTTTTACCACGACTTCAAAAAAATTTGCTTGAAAAACCAAATAACTCTGTAAAAAGTTACTGTTTTCTAGTACGAGCCAGGTAGAAGACTTCAACTTTTTCGGCTTTTTGGAAGCTTATAACTGCTGTTTTAGATCCCCCTAGACATTTTTTTGGAAACAGGGAATAAATATAAAAAAACTGCATTTAATGAACCAAATTCACTTCAGGAGCCTCAGATAACCTCTCAAGAAAAATCTCTTTTTAATAGATACTTAACCGAAGCTTCTCCTACAGTGACCACCTGGCGCTTTTTGGGACGATAAATCTACTCAAGGGACCACTTAAGAGTTCATTTTTCCACTTGAATGTTGCGATATACCTGCAAAGAAAAGCACATGTCCTCTCTGGTATACTCGCCGCTGGCAATGACTTGTGGGGCTTTTTTCTCGATCAACGACAAGATTCCAGACAAAGAAACGTCCATCCCTTTCACACAATAGGGCAGGTCGAAGAGCTTCGCTCCTAGAAAAAAAAGAGTTCGAGTTAAAGGAAAAAAGACGTTTTGCATGACTGTGAAAATAATAATCTTTTTTTGAGACAATCCGCACATTTTCAACTTTTGGTATAGTCCATTCGTCGCGACTTGGAAGTTTCCGAGAGTCTGCGTCTCTCTGTTTTCTCACCGTCAGAGAAACATAAAAAATAGCACTTCAAGATGATAGGGTTGTCGAGTGACGAGGAGGGCGCAGAGAAAAAGAGCAATTTAAATCGACCAATAACTATGTTTTCAGAAGATCCCGGTCTCTATTTTGAAGAGGTTAACATTCGAACATCAAGCTTTCTCCAAAAAAAAGAATAGTCGATAAAAATTGAAACAGGCTCGAAATCGTATCCACAGAAACTAGAATTTTTCAGAGATCCCAAAAAATGAAATTTTAGCGTTAAAAGCCAAATGAACCTCCAAAAAATTCGACTTAAGTGAAAATTTGGTGAATTTCTGATATTCCAAATTTCGGATACTTAATGAGTAACAAGTTTTTTTAGTATATTTTATTTATTTTAAAATTCATTGAAACGGTGATGAAAAAAAGCATCATAACTTTTCAAACTAGAAAAATCATGAATCAGAAAAACTTGGAAAGTTCTCTTTAAAACGATAAAGCAGCCCTGAATAGACTTTATTACCTGATTTGCAAATTTGACATTTTTTTTCACGAGCTACTATTTATTTCTACCCATTTTCTTCCAACCTTTCTTGGCCAACTGCTCGATGTTGTACCCGGGGCTGGGATTATTCGGCAAATTCAGGACCCTCGCAAATCGATCCAAGCAATTTCCAACGGCGATGTCGATCGTCTCGCCAAAGATACGATATTTTCTGTTGGAGTAGGAAATCACCTGAATCCTCCACTTCTAATTATTTTTCAACAGGTAAAACTTGAGTATTCCCGCCGCTGACGTATAAAACAACGGGATTGTCTGCCCCAGTGATAAGTCGGCCCATTTCGATGTGTCCGACGCAATGATTTACTGGAATTATTGGAATCTTCCAGGCCAGGGACAATGTTCGGGCAACCACGGCGCCGACCTGAGCATATCCAAAATGATGAGCCGAAAGGTACATTAGAAAAAAACGAGGATCAAAAAATCTCGCGGGGAAATATTTCACTATCAAAGGAATCTCTGATGAAAATACTTTCACTCAAAACTTTTTTTTCTAGGAAATGGGCGCTTCAAAAAACTTATTCTTGGAACGTGAACAGGAAAACGTTCTAGAGGAGTGACATTATAAAAAAATATTCAAAATCGAACTAAAAATGTCTTTAAAAAACAAGAGAAACAGAGAACCTCTGAAGGAAGGTATTTTCAATTAAAACTTCCCATTTCATAAAAAACTGACTCAAAACATCAGGTCAAAAAGCTAAGGAGGATTTCATTTTCAATTGAATACATTTTTTATCCATTTCTCAATTATCCAACTGGACAATATTTCAAAAATTCTCATTTTGGCGCCAAAACCAAACACGTTATTTGTTTATTTCCCCGGTCGTTTTTTACACAGACGCTTCAAAAACTGGCCGAAAAATTTCTTTCCAGAAAAATTAAAATAGTTTTGAAATGCCCTTTTTTTCACGATAAAGTTCACCAGAACCCTTCGTCTTCCTCTTTTTTTGAAATATCTGAAAATCCCGAAAGTTTTTCTTTTTCAAACAAATGGCTCGGATTTTTTAAATTCATTTTTTTATTGAATCGACTTTGTTCACAGAAAAAGTTTAACGATTAAAAAAAGTAAAAGTAGACATATTTTTTTAATGCTGGAAACTTGCAAAAAGGGTGAATATTATATGGCAGCCGTTTTTTCTTAAATTTCTCTCCACGTCAATCTGAAAATTCTTTCTTACGTCAAGAATATTTTTCTGAATGAAAATGTTCTGAATATTTTTTTCAGATCATCTTAAACTACTCGACGCCTTAGAATACCTTTTAAAAAGTAGATTTATTATGCGAAAAAAATAAGTTTCTATATTTACGAATCCTCAGAACTTTTTCCTTCTTTATAAGTCCATCCCAAAAAAAGTCAAAAAGCCATATTTGTGAATGAAACCACGAAAAAAACTTCTTTTTATATCTCATCTAGAGACGAATTTCTTCAAACCAATTAAAAAGCAATCCCTGAGTCGAAATTAAATATAAAAAAACTTTCCTAATGACAAAAAGGCCCAAATCCTGTTCAAATTACCAAAATTTTGGCTTGTAAACTTTCCGAAATGTCCTTTCTCCATACCAAAAATTCTTTTTTTGAACTTATCTCATACTAAAAGGTTCGAATAACACGAAAGAAATCATATAATCGCATTTTCCTGATATAAACCAGCCATCATCTCTTTTTTCTTCATTTCAAGCAGAGAAAAGTTCTTCCAAAGGGCTTTTTTTCCATCAAAAAAACTGGTAATCTAAAGTCAAAAAAATATGAACATTCCTTCGCAGCCCCCGAGAGCTCAAAAAAATTAGGAATATCTAAAACTTATCTTCATATTTCTTTTTTTAAAGGTCAAAATCTCCTCTTCCAACCGTTCCAAATTCCGACTTCCCTTCTATCCATTTTAAAAAAATTCGAACCGCCGATTTTAACGGAAACTACGGAAAAACTTCTTTTTATTTTTCCATCAGCCGCATCTTTTTCCGGATATCCCTGCTATCAAGTCAAAAAAATCCTTTTCAGGAGTCTTTTTATCCAGAATCTGATACATCAAAGCCTGAACCTAATTTCTAAATTGTCGTCATCCCTTTTTGAAAAACCGTGTTTCTTCCGACTTGTCAATCAAAAACTTTTTATTATAGAAATAAATGAATTATTATAGAGTTCTAAGCTCCTTCTCTAGAAATCTAATCGATTTATTCCTCTCGACGAAATCCAATATACAACTTCGAGTCAAAAAATCTTTACAAAAGGCTCGTTCTTATACAAAAACTTGTGTGAAAAGATCAAATCTCTTTCTACAGCCAACTAATAGATTAAACATAAGAAACACTACTTATAATTCCCATAAACGCATCTTTTTTCAGATATCCCTGCTATCAAGACGGAAAAAATCGACTCCTCGCGTCGAAATCCGCCTTGGAAAGCGGCTTAGTGCCAAGATAAGCTCAGACGGGGGGAGGGACAAGACGGTCGAATCAACTAGTACAACCTCCCCCCTTGCGCGTCGTCCCTCCTCCCCCTTCTTCTTCCTTTTTTTCGTGTCCGATTGATCCGACCTCTGCCCCACGCCGGTCAACCGCCGTCGCAACAGCTGGACCGTTCGCTCCTCCGTTTATTCCCCCTGCCGTTTCCCAACTTGTAAACAACCATTTTTCGATGCTTTCGTTCCATGAAATCGTGTTCAACGCAGAGGTTTTCGAGCTCTGGCCTGCTCTGAAAACCATGTTCCGAAGAATTTTTCTTCTTTTGTACCTGTGAGTGCTTTTTTTTTGTTGGTTTCATTTTTTGAATTCGACATAATATTGTGATAAAATTATTTTGGTTTGAAAATTCGCTCATTTTTCAGAAAAAAAGCTCTCATAAAATTTTCAAAAAGGGTGCTGAAATTTCAAATTCGGTCTCATATTTTCTGAATTTAATTCGATTTGAACTGCTTGACTTGGTTTATTGCCTTTCAAATGTTCTGAGATTGAACTTGAAAAACATAAAATTCAATTTCCTGGATCCAATTTTTTGTATTCCTTTTTTTGTTTATGAAAAAGTTTCTAAAAACTGGATCTTAAAAAAATGGAAATGTGCGATTTTGCCAAAAGTTTTTTTCTTACTTACTAGTTGATATCAAAATAGGTAAAATTTGAACTTTCTTCCCCACCAACTCTTTAAATTTTTGAATGACAAATTTTTTTCAAAAAAATTTTTAGAAAGCAAATCTGAAAATTTCTGCAATTAAGACTCTTGTTCATAACATCAAAGTGAGAATTATTCATTACCAAAAAAATATCTTTAAAACAAGAAGTATGAATTCAGCTTCCTTTTTCCAAATCGTATGCTATATTTTTACTATATTCTTCTTTTTTTATATTATTAATTATATTAATATTATATGGTACTGATCATATTTCAAAAAAATTTTTGAATTACTGATATTGATTTATTCAATAAAATTAAAATAAATGAAAATGAAAAATAATTTTTTTCTACTTTTTCAGGATCTTCCAATGGGACTTCGGCATTCTCATGACAATTGTGAGTCAAATTTTTTGATAAGCAGTATTAAAAAAATATCTGCAGACCCTGGTTCTGGGCTACTCCCTGCGATTGGATCGCTACGAATTCCTCACAGCGAAATTCAACGCGTTCGGCCCGACTATTTTCCTCATCGCTATTTCCGTCGAAGAAAGTGTACGTTTATCATCATTTTTTTCAAATTTGAACTTGCTCTGGTAACCGGACGCGAGTCGGACGTGTCGGGGCATTTCTAGTGACCACTTTAGTGGCGTCAGAACTCTTAGGTGATCTCTAGAAATGCTCGGAAACTTCTGGAGCGTGTCCGGTTTCCGTTACCGAGGTCCGAGTGATGAGTACCTTTTTTTGAGAATGATTTTAATAAAGTCCGTACAGAAAGTCTTACAAATGCGCTCCAATGAGAAAAATACAAAAAAATGATCGGAAAAAGTCCAAGATTATTGAGTAAAACCTAATTATTTATTCTTCTATTTTCGTTCTTCAAAAATGACTATAAAAAAAATGATTTATTCAATAAAATCGAGGTCCTCATCTGAACGCTCAGAAATTTAACTTATTTCGAATATTTTTCATTTCTAGCTTCATCCCTTAAAAACACCTCTATCGCATTTTGAATGGCTATAACTTCACATTAGGCCATTCCACGTGCGAATATAAGCTTACAGGTCCTATATACCATTTTTGACTCGAAAAACTCCACAAAACATATATTTTTCAGGGCCTGCACTTCAGATCTCCAATCGCTGAGCCCCGAGACCTGGCTTTAGCGACTTTGGGCGCATTTTTCCCGACGCTTTGTGTTCAGGTTATTTTTTTTTCGTCCTGAAATTTCGAATGAACCATCATTTTATCGAAATAATCACTTTTTTTTAAGAACCTATCTATTGCTCAAAGTTGAATAGTGACACTTTTAAAGGAACCTTCTCAAACTAAAAACTTTTTAATCTATTCAAACTCTCATTCAGCTCCTCTCAATGAACCGACTGACGTTCCCGCAGCCCACCGACGATATAAAAATCGAAGATTTCCGGAGGCACATAGGTTTTTGAATCTCCTATTTCAACTAAAAATTTCAAAAAATTTCCAGGAGTTTGGACAATTTTCCTGTTCCAATACTACATGACCGCCTTACTCTACATGAAATACAAGGCTATTTTGAAGGATAAAGAGGTAAAAATAATGAAAAATGTGTTTTTGAGAGATTGATTTTCAGGAAGATGAAGAGGAAAAGCAGTTGGCAGAAGCATACAGAGGTAATTAATGTTCTGATATTTTGTTTTAAACTAAAAATAGCTCAGTTTCTTCATGCGATCCTTATTCTTACGAATTCTTGGCAAAATGTATGGCTTTTTTATAGTCCGATTTTGACGACCTGAAAGGTCGGGCAAAACCTGGAGAGGTGACCAGAAGGAGGTAGGACGGTGAATGGAAGCTAGAAGGTCTTAAGAAAGCCTAGGGAAGGTGTTCGGAAGGTAATTGGGAGGTCTTTGGAGAATTAAAAAATTGAAAATGTCTGCCAGAAGCCCTCCAGCAGGCTTCTGACAGGTCAGTAGAAGGGTTTGGAAAGCTATGTGGAAGACGTCTAACCCCGTAGAAGGCTTCCGAACACCTTAACTGAAAGCAGAAGTTTCCCATTTTTCCTGAACATGAATCTTGGAAAAATGTTCGAGCAAACTTTTAGGGAACTCCAAACTTCATGAGACAAAAAATGACCCTTTTTTTGAACTAACTACCATAGAAATTTGGACCAGACTCACGATGTTCACCTTAGACACTTCCTACGACTCAGGTAAAAGTTGGGAAGCTTCTGCTTCCGGTTAAAGCGTTTGGAAGCTTTCTATGATAGTAAGTGGTAAAATGCCTTCCACATACCTTCGAGAAGCCTGCTGGAAGGCTTCTGGCAGGCATTTTGATTTTTTTTTACTTTCCAAAGACCTTTCAACTACTTTCTGAACACCTTCTCAAGACCTTCAAGCTTCCATTCACCTTCCAACCTCCTGCTGATTGCCTTACCTACACCTTCTCAAGATTTGCCTTAGCGTAAAGTTATCTATCAAAGCAAACCGTAGTCCCTAAAGTAACCCCTCAAGCTGGGCTCACATACTCCACAAACTTCCTTCCTTTCAGGCTACTTGATGGAGGATACCGACGAAGAGGAGGAGGAAGAAGACGCCGTGGACGACGAGGAAGAGTCCGGCAGTTCCGACGAAAGCGAAGAAAGTTATATTCCCGACGATCCCAGGCACACGCCCAAACAAGTCCCAAACCCCCGTCGCCAACCCATTCCAGTGATTCGCTTATTTTAGTCTATAGATGGGCTAGGAACCCTTTTTGCACTTTTGTTCATTCAAACTCATTCCAAATGCCTTTTTTAATCCCGTTTCGAAGTCTTAGAGAAATCTCTCATCCCAGTCTTGCTACGACTAATCATAGCGGGAAAAGCGTACCTTTTTCGCTTTTGAAAGCTCAAAAAGGGTATTTTTAAACTCCATGAGATGACTTTGAGACGACTTTCTAAGCCTAATTGATCTATAAACGTCTGAAAGAAGCTTTTTTCTGGACCAATTGATCTTAAAATTAATCAAATCATTGATAAGGTCATGATAATCGATAGCATTTATCATAAAACTCAGATCAAAAATCGCTTTTTGTAATAGATCCAGAGGCTGAAAATCGGCTGATCCACGTAAAATCTCTCAATAATCCCAAAAGTTCTTTCTAATTACAACGTTACGGTAACTCATTCTCTATTAAATTGTTCCTTGTTTCCTTCTTGTTGTTACCTTTTCACAATTCAAAAAACTTGTGAACCTGTTCATTTTTACCCCAAAACGGGTATAACATACCGCGTAATAAACTTTGTTGTTTTCGAAATTCTCTCAAGTGAAAATCAAAGAAAGAACCTGCAAGGGGGCGCCCATTCCGGGCCCTTTCGTGTAGGCGATCCCATCGATTTCCTCTTTCGGTTCACGGATTCCGGCGTCACTCAGAGCCTTCGCCACCAGTTGAACTACCTAATATTTAAACAATAGAAAGAATTTATATACAAAGTATTGGGCACGCCGTAGCGCAACAGGTTGCGTGTCTGTCTAAGAACCAAAGGGTCACAAGTTCGATTCCCATCGCGACCCAACCGAGGGTATTTAAAAAGTTCATTTATTGATGTCATTGATTCTATACCTTTTTTTATTATTATTATTTTTAGCTGATCTTTATACTTTTTAACTAGATGTTTGGAAGCCGCAAGTCCTTGTATTGAAAACATGAAAACGTTTTTCAAAAGTCAAGCCCTCCCGTCCTTCTCCGACTACTTTCTACTGTTCTTCTTCTGACCGTTTCCAACCTTTTGCCTGTGATGGTCGGCACTTTCTTTGGGTCGGAAACCTTCGCCAGGCGGAGCGTGGAAAGTTTCTCTCGGATTCGAAAGAACAACTCCGTCTTTAATTATTCCAACCTAAACAATCTTTCTTATAATTGCGTAAGTATTTTGGCGAAAACCCCAATTTTATTGGCGGATCCTTCGATTCCTAGAACGCAAACCATGGTTCTTTCAGATGATTCTTTTCAGCTTCAGGACACTTTCGCCCCACTGAAAAATGGAAAATTTTGAATTGAGTTCAGTTCATTCAATTTTTGTAAAGGTAGAATAAATTAATCAAAGTTCACATGAAAAAAATCCGCTTAACCACTTTTGACGTTCTAACTTGATTTCTACTTCATAATAGCCTTTCTCTCAACATTTTTCCTCTATAACCTTCTTTTTTCCAAAAAAATTTCTCAGAAAAAACAAACCTGGATCAACTTTTCGCGTTGAGCTTCCGACACGTTTCGATTTTTCTCGAATTCCGCACGGACTCTTTTCAAATAATATTTCTTATCAGTATACTGAAGAGTTCGAGAGTGTTTCAGTAGTTCCCGGTACAAAGTTAACGCCTTAATCTGAAGAAATGGTCTAACATTTGAAGCCTTGATATGAATTTTTGGACTGGTTAAGTCGATATTTACTTTGAAAATGATTTCAAAATACTAAAATCGACTTTATTTACAGTTATACTTCTATCAGTTAGCTTTAAAGAACTAAAGAAACAAAAAAGACAAGAAAATAAAAGGCAAAAAGTTTTATGGAGGTATGGGGAATTGAACCCCAGCCCTCTCCCATGCTAAAGGGAGCGCTCTACCACTGAGCTATACCCCCAACGAGACTACGAGTGTCCGCAATCGGATGTATAGCCTCTTGCGGCTTGCTATCTTTATTGGGAAATTGGACAACTTCGGAAAAATTGAAATTTGACTGGAAAAAGATATTCAAGCCTTTGAACTCATTCAAAATATGAAAATAAAATCAAACTGGCAATAAAAAGTTTATACTTCTAAAGAAAAAAACCAGTAAAAGTGATAATAAAAAACTTGATAGATTCCAAGTAAAGCACTTTGAAAACCGGTGAAAAACAGTAAAGCACATTGTTATTATGTCACGGGGGAGAAGAAAACCGGCGAAACTCAGGAAAACCAGTAAATTTTGAATAAAAGCAGAAAAAAAAGCAACAGAAAAATGGTCTATAGTTCTAAAAAAAGTGATTTGAAGTCATGAAACTGCAGTCTGATATACAGCAAGGCTTTAAGATTGCAGAAAACGTGATAAAGAGATAAAATGAGGAAAAATAAGAAATTGACATGGGAAAGGACTTGAGAGGTCGTTTAAATGATCATTTACGGTCCGAAAATGGCTTCAAAACCTGGGATTTTCAAAGCTTTTGTTATTTTTATGATGTAAAATTTGATTATTTCATCTTTTGAACTCATTTACAGACGGTAAACTTCAAATTTAAGATATTCGATGCCGCTTTGATTTAGATTTACGACCGTTAATCCCTAAAATTTCGGAAATCAACAGATATTGAAAAATTCAAGAATGTCCATTTTTAGACCCAATCACAAGGTGATCATCTACACAACCTCAAAAAGACGTGTAAAATTCAGAAAAGACCAAGAATATACAGAAAGTTCAATGCGACGGTGTTTCGACGGTAGGCCTGGGGTAGTACTTGTCGAGGACACTTCTCGGGATTCTCTTGAGCATCTCCCTGGGAAAGATCCTGAGGAGCTGCCAGCCGATGTCCAGCGACTCGAAGACGGTCCGGTTGTCGTAGTGGCCCTGGGCGATGAAGTTCTTCTCGAACTTGAGCAGGAACTCGAGATAGAGAAGGTCGTCGGAACTGAGGGCCTCCTCGCCGACCACCGCCTTCATAGCCTGCACGTCCTTGCCGATTGCGTAGCAGGCGTAGAGCTGGTTGGAGACGTCAGCGTGGTCTTCCCGGGTCATCCCTCAAATGAACTCGACTCAATATCTTATCCAATGGGAGGGTGGTACTATTTAGGGGCCCCTCAAGAGGTTTTGACATCTTTTCAGTGTTCTTTTGAGAGTCGTACTTACTCAGACTCACTAGTCAGAGGGACGATTTGTTTCATTCTTGAGCTCATGCAAGCTTTCGAGCTATTTTTGAGAAACTTTTAAAAGAAAAAGGGTGCAATTTGGCCAAATTTTGCCGTGGTCCTAACTTTTCAAACTTTTTATTTTTACCATACATTCTCTAAAGCATAAAGCTTCAAAATTTCTAAACTTTTTTTTCCGTAGACCCTGTTCATTTTTATTTGTTACTTGAACCATTAACCTACTAATTTTCGTCAAGAAGGTAAAGTTTGAAGCTCAAAGTTTTTCAGAAAGAAAGGAACCCGAATTTTTGAACTTTTCACGGTAATATCAAACGTTTTCAAGGGGTTTTTCAACTTTCATCCAAACCTCAAAAAAGTCAGAAAAACTAAATTTCTTTCACTAATTCTAGATTGGAGAACCGTGATGTCATCAGAGACAAAATTCCTTCAAACTAACCATCTCCAATGGCGCTCTTCATGAGCCGGGACAACGAGGGCAGAACATTGATGGGCGGATAAATGAGCCGATTGTGGAGCTGTCGATCGACGTAGATCTGTCCCTCGGTGATATACCCGGTGAGGTCAGGAATCGGATGGGTGATGTCGTCGTTGGGCATGGTGAGGATGGGAATCTGGGTGATACTTCCCTCCCTTCCCTCGACTCGTCCGGCCCTCTCGTAGATGGTCGCCAGGTCGGTGTACATGTACCCGGGGAAGCCTCGTCTTCCGGGCACTTCCTCACGGGCGGCAGAGACTTCCCGCAGGGCTTCCGCGTAGGAAGACATGTCGGTGAGGACGACGAGCACGTGTTTGCAGCACTGATAGGCCAGGAATTCGGCCGCAGTCAGGGCGATCCTGGGCGTGATGATCCGTTCGATGGTCGGATCGTTGGCGAGGTTCAGGAAAAGGCAGACGGAATCCATGGATCCGTGCTCCTCGAAGTCCTGCTTGAAGAAACGCGCCGTCTCCATGTTGACACCCATGGCGGCGAAGACGATCGCGAAGTTAGCCGTCGACTCTTTTTTGACGATGTTGCCGGGGACCTGAACGAGGCCGCCCTGGCGCACAATCTGTGCTGCGATTTCGTTGTGAGGCAGGCCGGCGGCGGAGAAAATCGGGATCTTCTGCCCGCGGGCGATCGAGTTCATGACGTCGATGGCGGAGATGCCGGTCTGGATCATCTCTTCGGGATATATCCGGGTCCAGGGGTTGATCGGCTGCCCGTTGATGTCGAGGAAGTCCTCGGCTAGCACTGGCGGACCTTTGTCGATGGGTTTTCCGGAGCCGTTGAAGATCCGGCCGAGCATGTCTTCCGAGACGGCCATTCTCAGGATGTCGCCGGTGAACTCGCAGACCGTGTGTTTCACGTCGATTCCGGACGTTCCTTCGAAGACCTAGAAATGGGAAAATATTAAGGAAAATGATAACAAAAATGTGCAGAAAAAATTTTTGGGACCATTTTCCTATTTTAAAATCGGCTTTTTGTTTTTTGTAGGGTCCTGGTGTTACTTCACTCATATAAAAATCGATTTACTCTATTCAAAAAAAGAGGTTCTTGGATACTTTTGAGGGAAGCTTATAAGGCACTTCTGAAAACTCGATGAGACTTTATACAAATTTCAAAAAAATTTCTTGAAGATCTAAAAAAAATGCAGAAAGTGAACAATTCCTCAAATAGAAACCTGAACGATGGCCTTGTTCTTGCTGATCTCGAGGACCTGTCCGGACCTCTTGGTCCCGTCGGCCAACGTGATCTTGACGATCTCGTTGTACTGGGGGAACTTGACGTCGGTGAGGATGACGAGGGGTCCGTTGACGCCGTGGACGGTTTGGTAGATGAGCCGCGGCTTGGTCGAGTAGTTCCGGAGGGGCGGCATCTTGTGGGCCGTCATCTCGGCGATCGCCGTCTCAGCGATGCCTTCCAGCTTCTTCAAATTCAATGGAATGAACTTGAAAAAAGTGGGAAAGGTGATGCCATGTTCAAAGTTATTTCACGAAATGCAAAATGATCTCTGACTCTCCAAAATTTAGTTATATTTTTCTTTCTCTGACGGCTATTTTGCATTTCGCGAAATTACTTTGAACACGGCATGAGTACAACAGAGTGTACGCCTTCCAGCTTCTTATAAGGAAAAAAAAATAATAAATTTGAGGTGAATTTAACGCTCAAAGTTACTCATGAACGAAAATCAATGAATCTTTTTTATAAAAAAGTTCCTTACAAAAAAGGTGAATGAAGTTCACAGTTGAAAAAAAAAACTTTAACCAGGGAACGTTCCATAAAACAAATGCCATCACATAGTGAATCGAAAGGGTTCTGACAAATTTTAGGAAATGCCGAAACAGTGAAATTACGTTCCTCGTCTAAATCTGTATAAAGAAGATGTTTTTCAATAAAAAATGTGACCAAAAATAAAGTTGATAAAAAGAAAAAAACGTGATGAGAAAAAAAGAAAGCTTAGGATTTAGAGTAACTTACTTTTTGATATACGCTTCAACTAATGGGTATATTGAAAATTCTATTTTTCGGAATTGTTTCTTGCGTGCGACAATGTATTTCAAAACTATTTTAAAAAAATATAAAACTTTCAAATTTATTCATGAATTTAAAAAAAGCTAAATTCTGTATTTTTTTAGTTATTTAAAAAAATAATACATGAATTCGTTTTTGCAACCTCTCAAATTTTTTTCGTTTTTTTCAAGATCGGAAGCTTCCTTTTTGAAAGAAGAGGGTAGTTTTTTTAAACTTGCTTGATCAATTATTTTTAATTCAAGATAAAAATTTAGGCTTATGAAAATTATTTTCAGTTGGTGCATTGAAATAGAGACCTTGAAAAATTAATTCTTAATGGTATCCTTCAAAAAACAAAATATTGAAAAAAATAACGTTCCAAATGACAAAAGTTGACAAAAAAAGCATGTCGCGGAAAAAAACTCTGGAAAAAAACTCCGAAAAAAACTTGAGAAATCAAAAAAAGGCATGTTCTTCTTTCAAAATCGTCTCAACTTTCTCAAAAAAATAAAAAAATAAAATGTAGAGATAATAAAATATAAATAATCTACCTTCACCTGCTTCTGCATGACTTCCAACTGAAGCGAGAAGAAGCTTCCCGAAAAAGCTGAATTTTTCTTTTTGAAAATCTGAAAGGCACGAAATTTCCATACAAGTACGCTTTACAATGCATCAAAACTTTCTTCTCAAAATCCAGAAATCGAAAAAAACATTCTACAAGCTTTATTTCGATGTTAATAAATATTCTCAATACCTTTTTTCAACGTAATAATCATATAAAAGGAAAAATGACCGATTCTGTGGGGGGAGGCAAATAAGAACGCGTCAAATTAATGTGTATAGATAGTATAAGTACAATACGAAAAATTTCCAAATTATTAAACATGATTGAAGAAAAAAAAACGATTAGAAGGGAAGGAAATTCGATTTCGCAACGTTGGAAATTGCGAAAGAATGTTCCAACTCACGAATAGATTGTTATTTTTAGAAGCTTCTTTTTTTGTGAAAAGGTCATTTTCCGGGTTTACGTGGCTCAAAAGCTGAGGAGATACGTAATAAATTCCGGAAGTGCTTTTTTCTGAGTAAGAATGGTTCAAAAACCTTCAAATCAAGCTAGAGGACTTTTTTCAAAGACTACTTTGAGCCCTTTTCTTCTGAAACCTTTCGAAACTTTGTTAAATTTTTTAAAAAGCTTCTTAAGCTTCAAAAAGCTCTTTCTGACGTAAAATGATCTATAAACTGTCGAATAGAACTCTGAATTTTTCAAATAGCTTGTATATCCTCTAGAAACTCTTCAAAACGCATGCTTATCATTAAAAAATACACAAAATCAAAAAAAAAAGCTCAAAAATTATCCAAAAACTATCCCAATCAGCCTAAAAACTCGAAAAACCGCATTAAAAACAATCTATCCGTGAAAAAAAGTCCCTGCAAATCAGTCAGAGTAAAAAGCTACACAAGAGTTTCAATAATTTCAAGAAAAAAATGCGAAAAAAAAACTAGAATTGTGTCTCAAATCTTAAGCAAAGCACCCGAGCAGATCCTCGAAAATATAGATAAAACAAGTTATTTTTTGCTTCTTTTAACTGAGAAACCGTCTCTAGAAAATGAAAAAAATTACCGTAAGTGAACACAACTGTAATGCAACTAGAGGGGGCGACTTGGAAGGAGAAAAATTGTTGACCAGTTTGATAAAGGAGCAAAGAAGGGAGGGGAATTTGTGGGAAAATGAGAGATTTTTGAGATTTCCTTGTCATTATAGCACTAAAATGAGTGAAAATTCCTCATTTTTCTGATAAAATCGAAGAATTCTAGCCAAATTCCACTAAATTAGTCATTAGAACTGAAAAGTCTATCCAAATCGGAAATTTTTCAAGCATTTTTGCGCAAACTCTATTCACAGCTATCTTGTGACAAAAAGTACTAAATAAACGTCTAAACCTCCTCTTTTCGGACACTATTTCTCAGTCAAGTGAATGCGACTTTTTGATGGAAAAATTCCAAAAAACCCTTCAATTTTTCACAAAAACCTCCTAGAAAATGAGAATAACAACCAATGTTTTTTGGAGCAATACGCAAGGAAAAAAATCTTAAAATTAACCAAATATAGTACAACGAATATTGAGGGGACAACATTTGCAAATAGACATTCATAGGAGGGAAAAGGAAGGTATTATGGCCCAATCACATTGGCCCGATCACCGTGCTCATTTTGATCATCGAATACTTAAAAAATTTGTAGCCGCTGTAGACGGTCGTCGCGTAGAGAAAAAAATCAACCCGAGGTAGGTCCAAAATGGATTGTACGACTGAAAAAAACATCCTTTGAATTCAAATATTGGAGAATTACGCTTATACTAACTAGGGAACGTCTTTTTTTTTCTCCCGGTTGAACTTTTGATGAAAATTCGCCCTTCAAGAAAAATCTTCAAGAAAAAATATAAAACGATCTTGGATTTCCCTGTTTCAAATTTACTGCAGAAAAGTTCTAAAAGACGAACAATTTTTTTAAAAAAGTATTTTCATTTTTTTCAATTTTTTTCAACTCACCGCTCTCGTCTTCAAAACGGTCAGAACAACTGAGAGGATCGCCAAAACGACGGTCGTCGCCAGGAACATCAAAGAACGACGGCGAGCGAATCCGCCAACCGTTGAGCTGAAATGGAAAAATAAATTTTTGAGAATAAAAAGACATATATATATATGCGAAACAGGGCCTACATTCGAATGTTCAAAAAGTAAGAGCGTTCAAAAAAATAAGAGAACGAAATTTTTTTCTCTAAACATTTTTCTTATTTTCCAATGCTTTCAAACAAATCCTCGAGTATTGAAAAGTTAGAGAGAGTTAATAGAAGAAAGCCACTTTTTTTCTCTGAGCACTCTCTTACCTACCAATGATTTTTAAAAAAGCCTCAAAGTGTCGGAAGTTAGAGAGCGTTCAAAATGAAGAGAGTAAACGTTATGTTTCTCTGAACACCCTCTTGTTCACAAATGCTTTCGAACTTCGAAAATTCGAATAAACAAAAACCTTTTTTTGGAATTTCTTCCTTAGTTTCCCTAGATTCCGTTTTTAAAAGTTTACGCCGGAAATCGGCACAATTTTTCTCGTTTAAATAAATCTCGGCCAAATATAATTAATCTTTTGAGATAGGAAAAAATAACAACGCAAAATTATGAAGAATCATTTCGAATTTCACGAAAAACGGGGCAAAAATAGCCCTTAGCCGATAAAATTTAAAACTTTCAGTTAATCCATCTTATTATCGTTTTTCAAACAGACCTAGAGCTGCTTTATACCTCAAAATTCAAAAATATCTCTGACTCTCCGAAAATTTAGTTATCTTTCTCCCTCTCTGACGGCTAATTTGATACTTGGGGGACACTTTGAACACAAGAATAACTCATATAAACTTCCATCAATTTTTTTCAGAATCCAAAAAAATTGTTTAAAATTGCTTTTATACTTACATAAGCAGATTGATTTTTAAAGGCCGCCAACCCCTCCAAAGTATTTTTTTGAAAAAAAGTCAGGAGTACCTCCCTGAGGTTAAAACTTGTTACTATTATACTGCCGAAACTAACTCCATCATGTCAAAAATTAAATCAACTACTTATTTTTCTGTATTTTCGTATAGCTGATTCACGGCTGACTTGAGCCATAAAGAACGGGTCCTGACACGATAATGCACGAGATAGCGCCTGGCTCGTGGAGAGCGCAGCCAGGACACGCTCCCTTAGCGTCCCAAGCTGGCCGTAAATCAGCTATATGTTAACCCATCTTTTGGGACTAATTGAGCTCTTGATCATCTGAGGGTTCATATTCCAACAGCCTACCTTCGTTTGCAGTGCGGACAGGTGGCCAGCGAGTTGGTGAGCGTGTTGAAGAGGAAGACTTGGTTGCAGTGGACACAACTCACGCGACAACTTCCAGTCGGCGCCCGGGCCGCCGTGCCTCCGGGATCCCGTTGGCCAGCTTTAAATAGTTATTTCTCGAGAGAAAACTGTGAAAATAAATTCCCTACATAACTGCTACGATTAGAACTACTCAAGGGGTCTTGTTGAAATCAAATGAAAATATAAAGAAATTCATTTAATGTTGAGTGACAAGGAATTATAGAATATTCTAGAAAATTTTCAGGGGACACTTTTTAGCTCACGGTTTAACTTTTTTCTGAAACCTTGCTTAAGTGTTTTTCTGAACCCCTTTCCAGAACAAAAAGAAAATTTTTATGGAACTTCAAAGCGTGCAAAATACGCAAATATGACAAAAAAAGCGCTATTTCAAGATTTTGAAGTGTCCTAACTCGAAAAACAAGATCTATTGCGAGATTTTTTTCTTCTTGATCTGCAATTAGGGGGTTCTAAAGTACACTCCAGCAAAGTTTCATCAAAAAAATTCAAGTAAAAAAACGTTCCCTAGTGAGACTAGTTTTTTTCAGCATTAAATTCTGAGATTATTCATTAGCGTATCTTCAAAAAAATATGCATAAAACTAACGAGAGCAGTGTGAGTTCCTAGTTTTAAACCGTAATTCAGTTCGCTAAAAACTGAAAATCAGTAATATCTTAAAATCAGATCAGAATTACCTAAATTGATAAAAAACCAAGTTTCGCCTTAAAGACACTTCTCAAGCTTTCGAATGTAGACAAACAATTAATAAAAATAAGGGTGACTCCCTATAAATACTCCCCTAAAACTGAAATATTGTCTAAAATTTCAAGATTTGATTGAAGTTGAACTGAATAAGGCTTTTTTTCTAACAATATACTCGTATCGTAATTTAACTTAATTCAAGTTTATATTCCTTTTTCTGCATTTTACCTAAATGGGTCTCACCGAGGGTGATAACTCGGCGACAGTTATTCCTGGGACAGGCGATTCGCGTCGAGGCCGCTTTGCAAATCAACAGGCAATTGCAGGGGCAGCGGACGTATCTGCAAAAGATTCCTCAATTTTTTTCATTCGAGCTACTTTTTTTCTTTGCAGAAAAAAATTAGAAATATGATCAAAATAATCTAGCCAATAAACGATCAACACTGCGCAATTCTAAGCAAACAGATTGAAATCGAAAATTTAAATTTTAAAAAAAACTTGACATACATTTTACGATCCTTCAACTATGAAAGCTTTGTTCCAAAAATTCAAACAAAATCAAAAAATGAAAAAATAACGATGAGAACAGAATTAAACAAGAAAAACTGAACAGCGAATCATTTTTAAAAAATTTTTAGCTAAAGCGAGATGGTATGAAATTTAAAAAACAGCAAACTTCCCGATTTTTTTCATATCGTTTTTACACTTTCCGACAAATCTTCCTCCGACTTTTTTTCTTAACTTCCTCGCTTTTAATTTTCTTATACGGATCCTTTAGCGAAATCATAAAAAAAGAAAAAGAAAAAAAGCTTTAAAAAAATATGGAAAAATCATGGAAAACGAAACGAGCAAAAATTCAGAAATTCTGCGATTTAAAACTTCTTACTAATCAAAAGTGAATAAATGAAAAAAAATTGAACTTTCTAACCACCTCCTAGACGTTCAAATCTTCAACACAAAACCCTATCTTATTTCTCCTTGTGTTTTGAAATTCCAAAAAAGGTTTACTTTTTGCCGGCCGGAGCGGGACGGATCGGCGTCGCCTCCTCGCAACTGTGGCACTTGACGACGTGCTGATTATCCCGACCCTCCAAGGCGATCGTCGCGTCGCAAACTCTGCACACCACCGTCGCTCCTTAAAAAAACAAGGATTTATCTGGGTCTGTCCGTGAAAATTCTAAGTTTCTATAGTATAAATTGGCTGACCATTTCAAAAGGCCGTCTAAATTCTTCGCAAATTAAACCAGTACTGACTTTCTGAGGTTTACGGTTTAAATTTTCTCAATTCAACCCATCCTACTTAACTTATTGAATTCCGCACTTGCTTTTGCCCTTTTTTTGATCGTAACTGAAAAAAACGATTGAAAAAAAGAAAACAGAACTTTGAACAATTCTATAGGAGCCGAAGAATCTATAAAAAAATTTTTGAGCAAAATTACAAATGATTTATTTTTTTCCAAATCAAAATTAACGCAAATCAAATAAGAAGTCAAAAAGTCAATAGTTCTGATTACATAAAAAGATTAAAACCTCCAAATTTTTTTTCAAGACTTCGCCTGTAAGTATATGAAACTTCAAAAAGGTTTCGGGACGAACGAATTCTCCCATCTTATAAGTCAACACTTCCGCTCATTTTGAACAATATATAAATTATTTTTGCAACAAACTTGACTATGTGAAACTTATTGACATTCTGTTCAAATCAATGAATCAATGAAATTGAAAACTACTGGCCTCGAAATAAAAACTTATCAAGGTCTAGAGCGTTTTTCGCAGTTCATAAATCACTTAAAAGTAACATGAAAATCTGAATTCAACAGTTTCAATATTTAACTGAAAACGTCTCCTTGCCTTGAAATACATAGGAAGTTTAAAAAAACTTCGAAAATAAAAAAATTTCAAAAAGCTTCGCGGCGTTTTTTTCAAGTCATACAGCAAATAAGAACTGTTTAGTCTAAAAATTTATTTAAAAAAAGCATTTTTATTCAAGAAAAAAAAAGGAAAACCTTGAGGCCTGGCCGCCCTTTGAGCCGTATCATTTTCATCATATTCATCGATGAAATCGTTGGCCGAATCTTCCAAATATGGTATTGGTCTGGAAAAAAATATTATTATATTAATAAGAATGTAAATTCTTTCTTAATCGAGAAAAAAATACTTGGAATGAGTCATGAATCATCGAAAAAAATTACACTGTTTAATCGATTTTTTTGAGGAAAAGTAATGAAAATTCGCATTTTTTTCAGCAAATTAATCTAGTTATGAGCAAATTAAAATCATTCATTTCGATAGTATTCGTTTAAAAAAATCGAAAAAAATCAGTTTCTTTTTAAACCAATTTTTTTGGATGCTAATAGTGAAATTACATAGCTTTTTTTCTGTGATGAAAAAGTAATAAAACCATGGATTTCCAAAATATTTAAGAAAAAAATGAACCTTTCATCCCGCAATAGCGGCAAATTTTTCGCCGGTTCCATCCATTGTTGGCTTTTTTACGGATCAACACCTGAAAAATGTTTTTTACCAAGAAAATTGAACAAAATCATCGAAAGGATCAATAGCGAGAAATGAACTGGTACTCAAATTTAAGAAGGCATAGAAAGTTCTTATTCCAATCAATTTATTAGAAAGTCACGAATTTCAGCAAAAAAATGCAATTAAAATAATTGTATTCATCACATTTTCATACAATAAAAAAATTATATTTTTTTAGAAAAAAACAATGTTGAAAGCAAAATAAGAGTTTTTTTAAAAAAAGAATTTTTGTTCGCCGGAGAATCGATCCACGAATAAAAAAACTTTTGTATTACATCTCGATTTTTTTAAAAGTTTCAAATGAAAAAAATCACATAAATTTTTGAGAAACAGTGTAAAAAAACATCTTTAAACTGAGTTGGATTGAAAAAGACGTTTCGAAAAAAATACAACCTTCCACCATAAATGAACGAAACCTTACGAGTCCTAGAAAGAAAATAATAATATATCCTCTTGTATACCAAAACTGCTCATTTCCCCATTTTTCAGATTCAAAACAAAAACAAAAAGCTAATAAACAGAAAAATGCTGATATAACGTTCCGAAATAAACCACGCGGCAAGCATAAACATTTGTGTATGGAATCATACAAAAGGTTTCATTTTTGGGCTCTTAAGGGACAATAAAAGTTGCGATCTTTGATAGAAATCGATTTTGCGTAGATAAAACGAACTGAAAGCACTTTAAGAAAGACTTTTGAGCTTTTAAATTCACTTTTCGAGAAACATTAATGGCTTTAGAAATAAATTTGTGCACAAAAACTATTAACACTATCGATGTAAAATTGAAAAATGCAAAGCAATAATATTTTTCAAACAAACAAAAATTAATATCGAACTTGTTAGTCCCTTTTATTTAAATTCGATCAGCATGTAACAATCTCTTACTATTCCAAAGTCTGAAAATCACACGGACAGCGAAAAAAAACGCGTATTTTGAGTCACATTGGAGAGAATGTTTACAAGGAAAGGGATGGAAATCGATCAGAACGGCGGGAATCAAGGCCCCCGCCGAAAAAGTGGTCACTTCAGTACACCAGCCACCTGATTTGTACTATGAAATTTGTAGAGTTAGGGAAATTCAGAAAATCATTCGAAAAAATGAAGTTTGAAGCGAGTATTTTGGAAAATTTGAAGTGGTTCTTGCGCCGAAATTGATTAATTTGAATCATTAATTTCTCACAAATTTGGAGTTTTTGAAACAGGAATTCGCCCATTTCTTCTACTAAGCTTTTTTTAAAATGTCAAGTCTTCAAATTCGAAGAAACACACTGGGAAATCAATAAAAAGCGCAGTTGAACTTCGTTTGAATCTAACTTTTTTCTTGTATTTCGCGAAATGTCTCGTTTAAACTACAAAAACCACGCCATACCCTAAGAATCGATAACAGAAAAAACCTTGAAAGCCTTGAAATCGTGAAAAAAAATCTTTCTCTCAAGAAGAACATCTAAATCAAATCGTGACTCTCTCACCGCGATATTTCACTCAAAACCATTATTAAAAGCCAAAAAACCTTTCAAATTACTTTTAACAACGCAAATCACTCAAAATCTAGTTGATAAGATTGAGGCCAATTCTGTGGTTAAGATAAAAACTCCAAAAGAAGCTGATAAAGCAGAAAACTTTGTCTGTTTTATCGGCTTTTCAAACTACCGATAACCTCATCACATAACCAAGATATAACAACAGTTTGTTAAAACTTTTTGCAATGTTTCGAAACAGCAAAAAAATTAAATCGTCGAAAAAAATTTAAAATTAATTTTTTTAAACCGCTTTAAAAAGAGAAAAAAATCATCTTTCAGAAATTCTCGATCGTTAACCTTCTTTTTCTCTATTGACAAATTAACATATAAAGTTTTAAAAATTTACTAAAAAAATTTAAATACGCGAGAAACGAGATGCGAAAAAAATGATTTCAAAAGAAAACTGTCGTGAGATGTGGTTTCCAGTGTATCGCACGGCAACGCAATTTGACATCCCCCGCGTACAAATATTTTTTTAAAATTTGCAAGAATATTTTTCAAACCAATAACGCTGAACTTATTCACCAGTTTATTTCATTATATTCACAACGGAACGCTATAACTGGTATTCTTATATCACATTACAAAAAAATCAAAGCAATAAAACATTTTTGGAACAAAAAATCACATCGAGTTTTTTTGTATCGGAACTGCAAGAACCAGTTTGTTTGGATCTTTGGGGGAGGATCAGATCTACAAAAAGGTACAGGAAAAAAATAAATAATAACTGAAAGAGTTCAAATAAAGCTTTACACATTTACATCGGGATAAAAACTGAGGCAATCCACCAAGAGATGGAAAAACATTTATGAAACGAGTAGAACGAAAAAAAGAAACAAAAGACGAGTTTGTACAGGAAATAGGTCGAAATGGTGTACTGTGATGAAAAGAATGAAATTTTGCAGATCATCCAATCATTTCGAAAGAGTTTTCCCCAGCGTTGTCCTGAAAAAAAAAGAAATCATTGAGAAGGAAATTCGTAAAATCGATTTCTTTGATCGTATTTTATCTCGTTCAAAAATCATTCAAGTTATTTTTAAGAGGATGATTTTCGAAGAAAATATAAGAAAAATTGTCCTAAGAGCTCTTATGTAGGTGAATAGGCAATCATTAGAAATTTCTTTATTTTCTGAATAACTTTTCGACATCTTTTCTTTTTTTTTTCCACCGTACAGGGGCTCAATTTCTACAGTTCCAAAGAAGTCAAACAAGTTTGCTCCAAGGTGAAAAACTCCCTTTTTCAGAAAATTTATAGTTTTTTCGAAAAAATGTTTCATTCAAAAATTTTTCAAAAACCAAACTTTTTCCTACTTTCCTTAAAAACATTAATTCCACTTTCTTATTTCAAACTTCCTCTTCATCCTAACCTTATCAGCAACAAGTTGAGCCATATGGTAATGCTTCTTCCTGAGGGCCGAGAGTCTGGCTCGTTCCTTGTTGAGTTCCTGCTCCAGCTCCAACATGCGAACCTGGGACTCCATCTCCTCCTTCTTGGCCTCATGAAGTGTCAGATTAGAGAAATCCAAGGATCCTGAGAAGCTGGGGATATTTCTGGGAAGCTGGATCTTTCCGAAAAACCATGATCGTTCAACGTCGTTTTGCCGCTCTGGACAGCAGCGACGACTTGTGCCGTACATTGGTTTACTGCTTTCGAGGAGACGGAAAGGGTCGCGAGTCTGGAATCATAACTTTTTAGTCAGGAACAAAATCAAATTTAAAAACTACCGCTTCCAGTTCAAATTGTCTATGAATCCATTCAAAATCTATTTTACGTATTTAAATTTCCGCGAAAGGCAAAATTATCTTTGACTCTTCAAAATTTAGCTATTTTCTTTCTCTGGCGGCTATTTCGAACTTTACGTAAGCATTTCAAACACATCATAATTCCTGTGAAAGCATGAAAAGACTCGTAAACTGAAAAACGGCTGGATCGTAACTAAAAGTTCAAACACCAATAATTCGATTTTACTCATTGAAAAAAACGCTTCAAAACGCAAAAAAAGCTTCAAAAAAATAATAATTCGTATTGCCCCGGAACGGTTCGGGCGCGCCAAATGACATTTTTTTTTCCTTTGGTTGAAAAAAAAAGAAATGAAAAACAGAAAACGGATATTTTGAGTCATAGAACAACATAAAATTACATTCGACTTTTAAATCTGTATTTTTTAAAACAAATTACTATTCCTCTTGCTGCTTGAAAAAAATTATTCCAATTATGTGTAACTGCTCATACGAGGCGCTTTTTATAAAAATAAGAAAGATCTTTCAAAAAAATCTTACATTGAAGATGCAATAAACAGTTTTTTCAAAAAAATAGAAAAACAACTTCCAAATCCAATTTATACTAAAACATTAAATGAAAAATATTCTAATCTAAATTCTACAAGATTTTTTTAGCATTTCTGACTTTGGCAAAAGAAAAAAAGTGACAAATCTTCGGTTTCAGGAATATTATTTTTCATCATCAATAATTTCTCATTCCGAAAGAGATGACGGAAACACGTAGCTAGAAACAGAAAAAGTGAGTAAAGAATTGAATATCCAGCTTCAAGTTGGCTTCGATTTGAAAAAAGAAAAAAACGGAGGGCAAATTTTTTCAGCTTTTACCGCACAAAAAATTGACACTCGATTATTTTTTCCAATCTTTCAAACGCACAGTCGTTCGGTAGATTTATTTGTTGTCCTTTTTTCCTTATGGAGCTTCATTTTATAGTTTTTATGGTATTCCCACTCACTTGGCCGATTCTCGGTCCGCCTTGACACGGCTAGAAACGAACAATTGCGCCGTACAAGCAGCGATTTCCTGCGCCGCGACGATCAGATGCTCAAACTTCCCTGAAAAAAAGTTCTTGTTTAAAGTTGCAAAAAATGAAAAAGAATCAACATGACTTTTTTCCAAACTTCATAAAAGGGAAAAATGCAAAAACCTCAATAATTAAACTACGTTTTCAAGTGTGAATTTGTCCAAATAGCAGCAAAAAGGCAATTTTTCCGGGTTTTGAGCCTTTTTTTCCTTCATATTTGATACATTTCAAAAAAACATTTTTCATCCTTGAAAAGAAAAAAACGAGAAAACCTTCAAATTTGAAAAATATGTTGAAAAAAACTAATTCATAACCGAAATCTATTAAACCCTAGATTCGGAATTTTCTAAATTGTTGTTTTAAAATATCTCTATAAACGTTTTTCTTCCTTCAAAAAAAGTGTTATACTTGCATTAACTTCTTTCAAATTTCCAGAAATACTTTCTTCATTACTTTTCTGACTGATAAACGTTGAGAAATCAATGCTGATCTTAATTTTTTTAGTTTCTCATATTAAAAAAATGAATTTTTCCAATAAGCTTTACTTTTCTTGGATCAACTCCATTCAACTTTTCAGGATTTTTGAGTTGAGCGGGAGAAAATTCTTCTGTTCAAGGTATCTTATTTTAATAATCAGTATTATCTCACAACAAAAGGCTTAAGAGCAACCGCGAAAACTCGATAGTGACATCAAGAACGTAGCTCGAAACGGGTAAGTTAGCAAAAAATAAATCCCGAGGTTCAAGCTTTTTTTCAAAGTTCTCCCACCCCTTCGAACCAACCTTGTCCTGTTACAACGCCATCCGCCGAGGTGACCAGCACTTTAGCGGCCACTCCAACCGCCTTCGCTGCAGATAACAGGCCCTTAAAGTCTCTTTTCAAAGATCGTTCGTTTCCAGTAGGAAAACCTCGGTCCATTGGTGATTTCTCTTGTAAAACTCGGCCGGCGAGCCTCCGGCCTTTCCAGCTGCGACGATTTCAGCTTGTAGTTCTCTGGACGCGATAACCAGCTGCATGATGGCTGACATTAAAGCTTGGCAACAGCCGAGGATGGATTCATTGACTTCGAGCCTGCAAAATCGACACTTCCTCAAGTCAGAAATTCAACAATTTAAGTAAAAGCCTCGGTAACTTGCATTTATGATAAATTTTTTCTCAAGAAACTTGCTTTTGAAAGGTGAAGAGGTGGAAATATTCAAAATTTCAGACAAGGCAATGGAAAAACGGCTACAGAAGTAAGTCATCGCGTCGCGGTTTTCGACGGGAAAAAAGAAGTTTGAAACACAAGTTCCTAATAATATTGTATCGGGAATCCCTTTCTTCAAGGCAAGATAATTTTTTTCGACGATTAGATCGAAAAATCTTGTATGAGCCTTAAAGTGAGGTGAAAATCGCAAAGTTTAATTTGAATAAAAACTAAAACTCATAGTCCAGGAGAAAGAGCTGAATTACAGAAACTTTGAGTGAAATCTATTCAAATTCCAGAGGTTGGCCTTCAAAAATGATCTGCCCATGTCTGATTTTGAGGAGGATCAACTATATATCCTCCTTCTGTCTTTTCATACAAACCTCTGGCCTGTCGTATTCTCTCTGGCTTTCTTCTGGATCGCCTCGATTTCTTCGACGGCGCGACGAATCACTTCGTCCATTCTCTTCATCTCCTGCTCCAGCTCACTTCCAACCACGTCCTGGAGTTTTTACTACACTTATTTCTTGTCTTGAAAAACATGTTTATTTTTTTAAAAAAATATTTTTTTATACGCAAAGTCGGAAAGAGTGAAAAAGTCTCCTATTTGCCTTTTTGGGCCATTTTCTCGGCCCTTATGCACCATTTCTGCTACCTCTCCTTATTTCGATTATTTCTTGAGCCTTTAAAGTCTCAGAAAAATGAGAGGTTTGGTAGAAAGACTATTTTTGCTGTCTTTTTGCGGCTATTATCCACCATTCCGACTTTGCTTGAGCTATTTCCTAACTTTTTACAGTTTTTTTAAAAAAATTTTTTTAAGAAAAAATCTATTTCACCGCCTTTTTCGACAGAATTCCTAAGGAACCAAAAAAATGAAAAATTCATTGAATTATTAAAAATAATAAATCGACGGAGTATAAAATGGTTTCTTTTTAAAATTCTTCAACTTCTTAGCTTTTTTTAGTGATACCTTATCAATGTCCGTCTGCAAGGGCAGCGCAACGAGAAGATCGTTCAGTTTCGAAGCGTTGTGCCGCAACGTGTCGAAGTCGCCGTCCGACGTGGCGATCGCCTTTTTCGCCGATGCCAACACCAACTTACACTGGTCATTGACGCCTGAAATCATGCAAATTCTATGCATTTTCAGCAAAAGCGTCTCCATTCAAAAAGTAGAGCCTGATAATCTTGTAAATTTAGCAAACGGCTTGAAAAACCAATTATTAAAATCTACGCAGAACCATAATTTCCCCCTCTCGAACCTTCGATTTATGAAGCAAGCCTAACTGCCCCATTTTTTTGAAATACTCTTTCGATATTAAATATTTCAAAATTTAGAAAAATGGACTATTTTTTTCGAATTTTTACAACGAGAACCTATACTTCTAAGACTTCTTTTTAAATTTCCTTTGATCACGAAATTCATGATTCATTCCACTTTTTCTTCGAGTAGGGTCTGGATTTTCGTGTGAATGATTCTTTCACATAAATCACAATCTGCCAATTTTCCTTTCTTAAGGACCTTCGTAATGCTGGATGCTGGCAGTGTAGGCGGCAGCGGCCGAAGCGACAAGAGTAGAGGCCAAGACATGACCCGCGTAAACTGTCTGATTGGGTCCCTTCGAGGGAAGGTCAGCCAGGAGCGAGAGGACTGTTGCCATAGCCGATTGGGCCAAATCTGAAGGAAAAAACGTTTCAAAGACTCTCTTGCCCTTATTTCAGCACAAAATTCATTAAAAAAAGATCAAATATGAACGAAAAACGAAAAAAAAACATTTTGTTTCATTTTCATGCTATCAGGGGATTCAAGATTTTTTTATTTCAATTAATAAACCTTTAAAAACGAAAGTTTTTCCCAGAGATTTTTCCTAATTTGAAAATTTCTAACCCAGATTTAAAGCCTTGAACTTATCACTTTTCCTTGAAAATAAAATAAAAACCAACGCGGTGGATAAGAAATAGAAGTTGCATTGGGCAGCTCCTCGTCGCAACGCTCGAACATGGCCAAAACTCCGTTCCTCAAACTTTCTGAAACATAGAATTTCATCAAAAATCGTCTCGAAATCCAGCATACGGTCAAATTGGCGCTCAATCTGCTGCTTCTCATCATCATATTTCTCTCCGGACTGCACCAAGGCAGTTTCGTGCTTCGCTTTCTCATTTTCCATTGTCTGAAAATTGTTTTTGAGAAATTAATAAGGAGCATAATCGATTGAAAAGTTACTAATGCCGTGTTCAAAGTAATTTCCGCGAAATGCAAAATGATCTCTGACTCTCCAAAATTTAGTGATCTTTTCCTTTCTCTAACGGGTATTTTGCATTTCGCGGAAATTACTTTGAACACGGCATAAAGCTCAAATTTTGGCTCTGAAATTGTTCAAAATTTTGGAAACAAGAAAAAAATGGGGGTCTTTTTTGATCGAAATTATTTGAATAAATGGTTATTTTTTTTCGTATACTAATCATTCATTCGTAAATCTTCATTCTCATAAAGCAATTTGATCTGAAAAACGAACAAATACCGAAAAGGCTAAAAAATGTAAAATTCACCCAATTTTTTTCATACTTCTTTCAAAAAAATTCAACAAAAATTTTTTTCCCAAAGTTTTGATTTTTGTGATTTTTTTCGGAATCTAGTCAATATTCCATATAAAAAAATTCCCTTTTTTTGTAAAATTTTTCAGCAAAAAAATAGTTACTCAGCTCTCAAAAACTCTAGAACATATTTTTTTCTGAAATTGAACTCTATTTACTATTATTTTTTTCTTAAATCGTCCCAAAAACCAACTCTTCTTAGCTCCTCCAGCTGCATATCGGCCTTGGCGAGCTGAGATCGTAGATCCTCGACGACAGACGCATCGCCGTCCGCTTGGGCCGTGGCCCGAGCGGCTTCCCGTTCAGCTTCTTCGACTTTCCGATGGAGGGCCGTCAACTTCAAGTCAAGATTTGATTTCATCGTCAGTTTCTATTGAACCTCTTCTTCTTTATCCATTTTTAGCTTGTCACTGGCTTCCAACTGCTTCTGAAGCTCGCCGAGTTTCGTCAGAGCCTGTAAAATTTCGAATCGTCTGGATAATTCTGTGTAATTATATTTTTTTCTGACACTTTTTCCATTTTTCTTGCTTTTTTTCTCGTCTTTTTCTAAATAATAACTAAAATTATCCTACCAGTAATTTTTCATAGAAAAGAGAAAAAAAATTGCAAAAAGTTCAATTTTTCTTTTTCAAAAAAACTACAATATCTTTTTAATCCGCCCAAAAAAATAAATTTTTCTTTTTTTAATTTTCTAGAGCTCCTTAGGAACTTCATAATGCTTCTACACAACTTTTTCCACATAAATTCTGAAATTCACTTTCTAAAATTGAAATCCAAGAGAATAAGTGAATATTTTCTCAAAAAATGAGCAAATTCCTTAAAATTTACATCTAAAATATCACAATTTTTCAATGAGATTTTATTTATTTCTTATTCTCAAGACCCTCCAGCCACCTGAACATGTTCCAATCGGAACTTCTCATAGACGGCCTTCATTTTTCCAAATCGATCTTCAGAGGCTTTCGCCTTGGCCTCAGCCTCCTTGACTCGGGCGTCGTCGCTCTGGATTCTGGAGACGTCGCGCTCCATCAACTCATCTGAACATTTACAAAAAAATTAAACAGTTTATATTTATAAATTTCAAATGGATTAAAAAACCTTTTTAAAAATTATAATAATTTATAGAGCTGGTTTTGAACAGAAACGGAGGATGAAACATTAAAATTGAATAGATTTCTCGAATTAAAGTTCAAACTGTTGCAGTAATATTGGGAAGAAGTTTTTTCCAACTTTTAATCAGAATTTCGGCGCTTTTTATCTCCACAAATTTCTCAAAACTGACAAAAAAATACCACTGCTATAGATTTGCAATATAAAATCGAAAAATTTATCAAATTCCAGGAAAAAATTACCTTTTGATGGCTATATTTCAGAAAAAATCACAAAACGTCTGAAATAATTAAATTTCTTTTGAGTTTAAAAAAAAGCTTTTCATAAGTTTTACCCGTCAAAATGTAAATCAAAAAAAAAAAATGAGAATTCTCTTGAAATGGATGAAAATTGAGAAAACGGTTGACAAAAGCGATATATAGCCGATTTACGACTAGCTCGGGACAAAAAGGGGCGTGGCCTGTCTGCGCTCTCCACCAAGAAATCACTGTCTCTTCTTTTATCGTGTCAGGACCCTTTGGCCGATGGCTCAAGCCAGCCGTAAATCAGTTATACTTAGAAACGACTGAGTAGTCCCTATAGGGCTTCAGGAACTGACCTCAAAGACCCTAAAGCTCAAGTGGTCCCTATAGGGTTTTTTTAAACTTCTGTTTAAGATTTGAAATTTCAAAATAATAACTTGATCGATTCATACTCTGTTGATATTTTCCATTCAAAAACTTCAATAAGTGGTCCCTAGAGGGGAACCTTCAAGGGCTTCTAAAGTTGTCCCTATAGCGACCCCCTGGAGTTTCTAGGTATGACTCGATTTCCCTTCAAATGCCTACTTCTGAGCCGATCTCTTTCTTCTCGATGTTCATCGACTTCCTGCCTGGCATGGTCGCACTCGTTTTGCATTTGGACAAGACGGTTTTCATACTGTTCGATGCGGCTTCGAGCCTCAAAAAGAATCTTTTTGAATAAAATCTCGACTTTCAAAACCTCCTGAATCAATCTTTCTTTGGCGAAACGCTCGTCTTCCAACGATCTTTGGAGAGCGATTATTTGTTCTTCCCTAAAAAAAAATGAAAATATTAATAAGCATAAAAAAGCATAAAAAAGCGGTCGCATTTCCATAAATTTCATAAATTTGTAAACGTCCGTACTTTATAGCATGCCATATTCCGATAAGAAAACTGCCATTTAGTTCATTCAGATCAATTAAACTAACTCAAAATCGGGAATCATCTTTAGACACAACTAAAATAGCCGCAGCCATGTTCAAAACCATTTTTCAAACGTACTTTTTGTGATTACATGATAATTTGATATAATTACACTGGAAAAATGATGCTAATTTCGAAAAAAAAATTAAGCTTATGGTCTTCAAACGCTTTCGAATTTTTATTCGACCTCATCCAAAGTTACTTCCGAACTAATAATGCCTAAACGGGTCACATCCACTGAATAATCTTCCTAAAGAGTCTCTAATCCTCGACCTCGCATCAGTCTGGCTAGTCGGACTGGCTTGTTGGAAGGACGCGTCATCGTTGTCAAAATTGAGCAGCGTCTCTTCCTGAAAGCTGGTGCCGTCCTCCGACTCCTCGGATCTCAGGTAGGCGTGCGGAGTTCGGTACGACTCCAGGTCCGACTGCTGCATGAAGTTGGGTGCCGACTGGAAAAATTAGTTCAGTTACGGTTGTAAGAATGGTCTTCACAGAATCCGAATGTCGAAGCGTCATTTAAGCCCGGCCCCTAATGCCGGTACAAGCAAATCAGAGCGCTCCACATAGATAAACTTATCATGACGCCATTTTACTTTTAGTTCAAAAGTGCAAGTTTTGAGAATTTTCTGAAGCTGGTAAAGTCCGTCTGCCGCAACTTGACAGTTTTGGCGTGTCTGAGTCTCTCTGTTCCCTCACCGGCGAGGTCAGAGAAGCGGGGAAATACCACGTAAACGAGAGAGAGTCGTCGAGTCGCGAGAAACTGACTATAAGCATTCTTAAGCATCCGGATTCCATTAAAAAGATAAATTTTCCTGTATTATTTTCTATTCTAATTACATAGCCTTCCTGCCGCAACTCGAAAGAATTTTTTCGCGTGTCTGCGTCTCTCTGTTCCCTCACCGGCGAGGCTAGAGAAACATGAAAATAGAACTTCAAAATGAAAGTGTCGCTAAGGGACGAGGAGGGCGCAGAGAAAAACAGCAGCCCCAACTCGCGGAAAGGTTGTAGGAATGATGATGAGGGTCCTCGCCATAAAATAAAAACCCTAAAGTGGACCCGAGCCAAGCCTCTCAAATCTCCTATTTTCCGTAAATCCTTGCGGAGATTAAAACTCACCGATGGAAGGGTCGGGATGGACACCAAATACTTGAAGTACTGCAGATTGCTCGACTCCTCGTAGAACTTCTTGGTCCTTCGGAACACCTCCTACATTTCTACATGTAATTTGGGGACAATTCCTCGGAATCACAATAAATCTTTGTCGATGGCCTTCCAAGGCGTCCGCGGGCACACTGGCGTGCAGCTTGAAGATCATTTTTACGAGGTAGTCGTAGAACTTGCTCGAGTCCAGGATGACGATGATCAGCGGGGCCAGCATGCACTGACCTTGCGGGATCAACGAGCTCCATCTCAGGGACAACAGCATGTCGTACACTGAAACTTTTGAAGTCATTCCCAAGAATATGGCTCAGATGTGGGCGGAACTGAATTTCTGAACTGCGGAGCGCGGAAGTAAAAAAGTAAGCACAAATTTTCGGATTTTAAAAAAGAAATTTATTTTTTTCTCCTCAACTGGTATGTTTCGACGGTTAGCGGGTTAAAATAGATACACAAACTTAGCATTTCTTTTGAAATTTGCTCTGAAAATCTCGAATTAAATTTCGCTACCTTGGCAAAATTTTAGCTTGTGAAATGTAAATCAACAAAGTTCACATTCATACAGAAGTGCTACTTTAAACCCTTATTTGCGAATTTAAACATTTATTTCATAAAATTTGGGCAGATATCAACTATCAATGATCTTTTTTTTATTTTCAGAGATATTTTGGGCTGACTTTTAAAAATCTTCACACAAAATTGTCTCTTTTGCAAGACGATAATTTTTTTTCACGCTTCAAAAAATAATTATTTGCCTAAATATTAGCACAAAGGTCCGTAATTTTATGGAAGAACGGCGTTCGAGAAAAATTTTTTTTTCAATCATACAAAAAAAAATTAACGTAGACGTTGATGCGTTGTCATTATTTTCATTTCTAAATTTCTTGATCTCAATTTTTTTTTTTCCCCATTTTATTGATTGATTTACCTTCCCCTGGAACCCTTCAATTCATATTAAGGATGAAAAATTTTTGCTTTTTTTGATATTTTTATATAATATTAAATTTTTTTGTAAATGATTATTATGAATTATAAAAAAAATTAAAAAAATCATAGCCTGTATATATTTTTGAACACCAATTCGCCGCTCAAGCCCCGCCCCTATTGGCGAGTTAAACCAATCAGAGAGCGAGCCACTCACAGAGCGCTTTCGAATGACGTCACTCTACGTGACATTCAAAATCTGAGCAGACTACAAATTTTTGTAAACTATTTTAATATCTCTTTTTTCATCGCCTCAAATTTATAACACAAACTTTTTTCTACCCTCCCCTCAAGCTATTCAGCGCACTTTTTTGCATTTTGTGAATGAAAATTTCTCGTCCGAAAAATCCCATTTCTCGCGCAAAAAACGCACCTTTTTGCTGCAAATCGAGCAAATTGTCCATCTGGTCGAGCATATCGATGGTCATCTCAAACATGTTATCCAGAACACATTCCAGAGTTCTTAGCTGATTTTCCGTCAAGTCCAGCTTTCCCGGCACGACTGGGTACTGGAAAATCGGATTTTTTTTTTTGAATCTCTTTTTTCCGCTCACCCTGTTGTGGAAGATAATCCTTTCCTGGAGCAATTTGCAGTAGGCTTCGATACAGGGTCCGTAGCCGCTCGTGTTCAAATGCTTCCAGAAAAGAGCCAAGTTCGTGAATCGGCTTTCATATCTGAAGGACACAAAAATGCCAAATTACTGCGAAAATTTTTAGTAACCACTATAGGGTTTTGACGTTTAAGTGGACACTACAATAGTCAAATTACTGGCTACTTAAGGGGTTGAAAATTAGTGGCCACTGTAGAGGTCTAAGTGCTACTACTAGACCACTAAAAATTTAAGTGGCCACTTTAGGGGTCAATTGATCAACATAACTGGTCCAATCTGTTTGTTTTAAAATCATCAGAGTTACTGGAAGGAATATTGGATTGAAAACTATTGAAGTGGCCACTAAATAGAGAACCTCTATAGTGACCACTAAAACGGAAAATAGTGGCCACTATAGTGTCGTGTCCAAGTAGTCCTTGGGAAGCTTCTATAGGGGCCACTAAAAATTTTCCCAGTAAGATTTTAAAAAAGGAATTCGAACAGTTCAAAAAGTTATGAAATTGAGAAAAAAATTCATATTTAAATAGAGAAATCCCAAAACGAATGAGCGTCGATAAAGTCAATTCGATAGGAATATTAAAAAGCTAATTTTTTTCATATCCAATTCAAAAACCTTGATGAAACAGTAATCCCGTCTTGATTTCTCAATGATTTCGGCCTAGGACTGAAGACTATAGTTATAGCAGATTCAGGGCTGGCTTGAGCCATAGTAAAATGGCCTTGACACGATTTTGAATATAAAAAAGAGACAGTGCCTGGTTGGTGGAGAGCGCAGACAGACCACGCCCCTTTTTTTTCATAAGCTAACCGTGAATCTGCTACAAATATTTTGGTACACTTTCAATCCCGGCTTCATTTTTATTTTTTTGTGCTTTCCGCCAGTTTCAACCTAGTACCACTACAAAAAAAATGTGTTAATGACTATTTTTAGCCGTATTGAAACGTTGAAACTTCATAAAGAAGTTTGAAACTAGATATTTCAAGACAGAGCACAAGTTCTCCGGAAAACTGAGCCACCGACTGTTCAAAACTTATTTTTTCAACCTTTTCCAGAGCTTTTCATTCCAGTAACCTCACGAAATGAACCATAAAGTCTGAAAATTTCAATTTCTACCTGAAAGCCTCTTCCGGACACTTTCTATAACCATCGCGGAGGATCTTGTGTACGATATGGCAGAACTAGAACACATATATATTTTTATGGCATTTTTAATAAAATTTCGAACCTTCCAAGCCAACACCGGGTGTTTCTCGAGCTGAATCCGACTAACCGTGTTCCAAAAAATGTTTGAGGACCTGAAAAAAGCGGTTAAAAATCTGTTTTTGAACGTTTTTCAAGGGGAAAAAGACCAAAAAAACATCAATTTTCGAGTCGAAATTAAAAGTTTTCTTTCTCTTTTTTCGAGAAAAAAATATAAGCTTTAAAAAAATCTTATGAAAAAAAGTTGCTAAATTATTTTTCCTGTTGAGGAATGTCATAGAAGTTCAAAATTATACTATAAATAAATATGATTTTTTTGAAAAATTCGCAAATTTCGCATGAAAATGAAGCCTAAAAATTGAAAAACAAAACTTCCCCGTAAAAATTTTTATAAAACCGGTATGAACTATGGAAACCCTCTCGATCCCATGAAAATAGTTCAAAATAGACCTAAAACCTAGACTTTTTTTCAATTTTTTTCTGGGGAAAATTTTTGCTCAATAGTTCAATTTTTTTAGAAATGATTCCTCCAAAAATCACGTTTTTTTCATTAAAAAAAGGCCTAAAAGCAAAAAGATGAGCATGTTTACAGCGGAAAGAAATTGTTAGAAGATATATACAGAAAAAATAGAAAATTTCATAATTCACACGAACTTCGTAGTAAAAATCGCGTTGAATTTTTCCGAAAAAAAGCTAATTTTACATTAAAAGAGTAGAAAATTCGGAAAAACAAGATATTTACAGAGTAAACAGTTATACACACTAAAACTTCAAAAAAAACAACCCGGAAAATAGAAAAACGCGGGGAAAACGAACTTCTCGCGGTGGGTTCCAACGACGATCGTCCGGGCATGTTTCGGTTTCAACGGGACTTCGAACTTGGTGATGGCCTTGTGGAGAGCCTCGTGCTGAATCACGTCTTCCATTTTGGATGACATAATTGAAAAATCCCACGTTTCCACCCTTTTTATATTATTTTTTTCGAACACGACATCACGTTTTTTTCGTCATCAAATACGTGGCAAAACGTCTCATTATTTAATTTCAAAAAAATAAGTTCTTTTTTTCATTTCTCACCTGCCCACGAATGAACGCTTCCCGTTGCTGGGCGCGGTCCATTTATTGGGAGAAATCCTGGAAAAAAATCTTCTTTTTTTCAGAATTTTTTTATTCAAATAGTGAAGGGCCACGGGTTGAAAAATATATATATATGTAATTCGAGAAAACAAAAAAAGAGATTTGAAAGATTTTTATTGATTATTCCGAAACGCCAAAGGAAGTAATCATAAAAACTTACTCCGACTTTGTTAAAAAAAGTTATATGTAACATTAATGCAAGTTAAACGAGATTTTTTTCCCTTTTTTTAAAGGAAAAAAACCAGATAGATTAAGAGTCATCTTCAGAGAAAAAAATTCCTTGAAGATTTATCATGAAATATGCAAAAAAACGGCAGAATCAATTAATTTTTCAACATAAGGCATTCGGGAAAAATTCGGTCGCTTTTTTTAAAGTGCCTTTTTGAGAATTTTGAATTTTTTTCCAGTTTTAAATTGTTTGCGTGTCCATAATGCGTATAATTCTCGATTGAGGTTCGTTTTTAAGTTTCGAAAAACCAAATATTGGCGGGCTAAATAAAAATGATACCAAAAAAAATTTTGAGAATCAACGGCTTGAATGATGAAAATGTAAAGAGTCTTCAGAAAACAGGGCAAAAAAACCGGAAAAAAATGGTTTTTGAACTTGAAACAAATCTTAAAAAGCCTTTTGTCATATATTTTTGTCGGTTTTGTAAACATTTTTTCAAACAAATCGTGTTGGAAACGATTGAAACGCCAAAATTCTTCGATTCGCAATGAGGAAAATAAACCAATTTAAAAAAATAGTTCAATGGCAAAGGTCAACTGAAAATATTACAACAGAAATCTTTCCATTTTATTTTTTTAGCAGCTTCCCGAAATGAGAATACAAAGTTTGAAATGAATTTTTTTCTTTAAAATAACGGAAAAAAATAAACAAAAAAAAGGTTAAGTACTGAAAAAGTGAACTTTAAAAAAATATTTCAAAAAAATTCGGTGACTTGGCTAAGCATGAAACCTATTTTTCATTCATAAATGCAAGTTTTTGACCGCTGGGGTAGACTTCTCCTCAAAATCATACTTTTTTTCGTTAGGCTATATTCTTGTAAGCATTTTTTTAACATTGTAGATTACATTGAAAAACAGGAAGAAAAAAAAAAAAAAATGTAAAAAAACACCAAATTTATTTGAACACAAAAAACAACACAAAGAACACATCATTGTGTAAACAAAAGAGCAGAAGCAGAGAAAAAAAAGGGAATTTCATAAGGACCCAGTCGATTTCCGCGGTTCGTATTTGTGAGTCACTGGTGGACGAGGAGAAAGCAAACAAGAAAAAGTGGGGAATCAACACGATAAATTGAGAATTTCGATCGTTTTTCTTCAGTAAGGTGCTCCAGGAAATGTTGCCGATTCACAAAAAAAAATCAGGTTTTTGAAAAACCTTTGAAAATGGAAAGCTTATTGGTTAGGAAAAGGTATATTCAAATTCTTGTCATTTTGTGAAAAATTTGTGAATAATTCTGAGCTTTAAATAGTTTTGAGCTGTTTTGGAAAGGACAGAAGAAGTTGAACGTCGGATGTTTAAAAAGATTTGCTTCATAGATAATTTGAAACGTACTTTCATTGGGTTGAAAATGAATGAAATGACAAAAAAATTCTTGAATTCTTGAACAAATTACCACTAGAAGTTTCTGAAACAGTGAAAAGAGCTGGGTAAATAACGAGAGAGTAAGAAAAAGTTCTAAATTCAATATTTATCGGTATAAGAACTGATAACTTCCGAAAAAAATTGCCGTTGAGCGCGAGTTCAGAACCTGTTACGGCTATTTTTCTCGCATCGGATTGAAAAATATCGAGAGTAATTCTTATTCAGTGAACTTTTTCCAGTTTTTTTCACTTTTTATATTAAATTTTTTTATTTAATACATTTTAATTTTTTTCCATCTATAAATAAATGAAAAAAAGTTCGAAAAACTTGGCTAAAAGATATCTTGACAAAAGAAAAAAATTAATTTTTTTATTTTTATAAAACGTTTCAGGGCCAATCAAAACAGAACTAGGTCATTAGAACTTCAAAATAAAAAAATGGAAGTACGCTAAATTTTTGATGGAAAATGTAAATTTTGCATTTCCAACCGAAAATATCAATAATTTCTACACAGAGCAGAAAAAAACGACAAATATGACGGCACCAAAGATAAAAAAATATTGATAAGGGTGTGAAGAAAAATGTTGAAAACTTGAAATTCTTGATAGAAAAAAATAAAATTTCTTCAGAAAAGATCGATTAAAGCCTCGAAGGAGCCATTAAAAACTTATTTATGACCCTAATATGTTTTTCCCTCCGAATTGAAATCTTGCAAATTTCGGGCGTTTTTTTCAAACTAGATAGCTTCGAAAGATAAGCAGCTTTTTTTGTGAATTCTATTCTCAGGTAGTTTTCCTAGGATATTGGAAATAATTCTGACTTTTTGTCTAGAAACTTTCGAAGAAAAAAAAACGAATCAAAATATATAGAAAAAGGGGAAAAGAAGGCGGAAAAGTCTCCCAGAAAGCAAACAAAAATTTTTGGACCTCACCTTCGGAGCCAACACAACGGCTCCTGCCCCATTCTCACTGAAATTTCACTGGATGGACCTTTCTAATCGGATTTCAACGGGGTTTTTCGTGATAATTGTGGGATGAGGGCTTGGAGAAAGAAAAACCTGGCATTAAGATAGATTTTCGAGGTTTCGGAAGCGTTTTTTGATAATGTCGAAAGAGTATAGAAAAAAAAGAGACCTTATTATTGCTTTCAGGTCGTCGGAAAGAAACTAATGGAAGTTAGCTTTTAAATGAATGAAATATATTTCTGTGCATTTATATATATATATATGAAAAAAAAGCTTGAAAATGCTTTTTTTCTTTTTCCTCTAACTTTCTCTGTAGCTGCGGATGTAAGTTTGAAAATTTTCAGAGGTTCGAACGGGATAGGAAACAAAAAAAGGAAAAATAGAGATCTTGACTTTAGATAAAAGGAAAGAGGCTTGATTAATGTAGCTCTTAATGATGATTAAATGATGATTTTTCAAATATTTTATATGTTCAATCTTCAAATATATTCACAATGACTGAACAAGCTTTTGTGATAAAAAAATCGAATATAGCTCAAGAAATTAATTCAAAAATATTCAAAGATGATTCCAACATCTACAAGAGCATATAAACTTTCAAAAAAATGAGTAAATATTTATTAAAAATCAACAACAAAAATTACTACCTATAAAATTTCAAACAAAAACAGAAAATTACAAATTCTAACAAAAATCAAGAAGTCCTCAACATTTTCGCCGCTTTTTTCTCGGCCAATTCTTTGAGTTGTAAATCTACGGTTTCTTTTCGTTGCGTCAGAAATTCCTTCAATTTCACCGGGTCCAGATCTTCTTTTTGAACTTGGATTCCGATGGTTCGACACGTTTTTACCAGCATTTTACAAACGTCCTGCATGAATTAATCTTTTTCAAATTCTGAAATATAAACGAACCTCTAAAGGGACCCCTTGCAAAGCTTTATCGTTCACTTTCAATTTTGCAATTTCGTAAATATGTTTCACAGAAAGTTGACCAACAATTTCATCTGAAATCTAATTAATTAAAATAATTTTTTTCGAAAGAAAAAAACCTTTAGAAGCTTTTCCTCGCCCAACTCCTGCGGCTTGTTTCAATAGCCACGTCGAAGTTGGCGTGCAAATTTCCAAATCGTATGTTCGATCAGGCTTCACTGTGACTCTTGTCGGCACAGGAACACCTAAGACTCTCAATTTCAATATTATATTTCAGTTTTTCCTAACCTTGCTTAATGTGACCAGTCTCCTTATTGAACTCTTTACAAAAATTCGCGACATTCAATCCTCGTTGACCGAGTTGTGGACCAAGTGGCGGTGCAGCAGACGCCATCTGAGCTCTGAAACACACTCAAAATGACAGATTCTGAAAATGTCATCAAAAAACTGACTTGATATTTGTCCTCAGAAGAGCGCCGTGGACAACTTTGACGATTTCCTTCTTCCTCACACGAGCCGCCGCCTTACTGGCCATCTTCTCGACTGAACTTTACCCAATGAATAACAAACTCGAAGAAAAAAAAGGAAATAAAAAATTCAAATAAAAAAGAGAATCGAACCGGCGAAGGGTAAAACAAGTGCGCGCTGTTGCGAATGAGTAACTGCAAGCGGCCGCTCAAGAGGCAATCGCATTTTTCCAATGAGACATCAAATTGTTTTATATATTTCGTTTTTCATCACTTTTCATGTTAATAAAAGTTTATAAAACTTTGAATTAATTGCTATTGACTTCAGTGAATCCCTGTAAAAAGAATTTTTCGAAATTGAGAAAATTTCTTTTTTTTTTCGCTCATTAGTTTTTATTTCAGAAAAATGGTTCCATACGGGGAGAACGAAGGCAGGATGAGCACACCGGATCTGCACATGTTGATCGAAACTCGAATACCAGAACAACGAAATCAGATGGAAAATACAGCCGCGAGTTTGAATGAACTCGCCGCCTATTTGGAGCATAATTATATCACCTCAAAGGTTGGATTCCTTGGATTCCAAGTGGTTCTCATTTTTTTCATTGAAGGATAAAGATTTGGCGTTCAAAAAGACACAAAATGACGCTTTGCAGTCGTTGGCAAGTGTCGCCTATCAAATTAATACTTTGGGAAGGTAAATTGTGATAATTTCGAACTTTTCATGGTTTTATGATCTCAGAGACCTTCTCGACATGCTCGACCTGCAAACCGAGAAAATTAACCATTTAACGCACCAGGTTAAACTTGTGAATGAGGTAAAAATTATCTATATGAAAGAATGAAATGGAATTTAAGGTGGTAAATATCCAAAAGGAAAAATCGGCAAGGAGAGAGATTGGATATTTAACAAAAGGGAAGCTTTTGATAAAGCATCCGAAGATTTTGGATCCAGGTATACAGATGAAGGTTTCTTAGCTCTAGAAATATTTTTAAAAAAATTCGATACATTTCTAGGAGACGGTCCCTCGCTATAAAAGAACGCCGATCGATTACTCAGTACTCGATAATTTGGGACACGGTGTTCGTTCGGAGCCGCCACGTGCAGGAGTGGTTGGTTTCAAAGAAATTTATCGTTTTTATTGACTTTTTTTCGCAGATTTCCCGAGCAGCTTCATCGATTTCTGGCAGTGGGCCGCATTTTAGAGATTACGGGAACGGTCAAAATTATGCGGCTTACGGCCCGTCGATGCAGTATGAGCAGAGGACCGCTAATATTAATAATACTGTGGGTTTTAATATTGAAAAAAAGGGAGATTTTTTTTTGTTCATTTTTTCAGAATTCTCAATTTTAAACCATTTTTCATTGTGCTGCTATTTTTAGATTTAGATTTTTTTCATATTTTATTGCTCTACTGCCATTGTATCATTGATTTATAACTTTGGATTGGATTAATTGTTAAATTTTCAGTTGGGACGCAATTCGATGCGCAGTGGTCACCTATCCATGGCGCCGTCGGATTATCGTGTTCCTCAGGTTTTTCTTTATTTTTTCAGAAAATAATCTTAATTTTTTGAAGGTGAACATGGGAAGCCACCACAATTCGGGCTCGGATTACGGTACAATGATGTCGGATCAATACGGCGGCAGTCAGTACGGCGCCAGCGAGTACAGTAGTTATCCTTCGGATCGATACGGTCAGTCCCCTTCGAAAATAGAGAAAATATTAATTTTCAAGTTTTTTGAAAAATAAATATATTCAAAGGCCGCGTTCGAAATGATTTTTCAAGCAGGATTTTTGAAACATATGTTTCCCTGCTTTTTCGTATGGTACTTTTTAAGAAGATCTATGAAAAAAAGAGAAATCAAGGCAAGTAGAAAACATGGGAGTTTTTTTATTTGAATCTGACGTCATTTTTGAACCAGAAAGTTTCCATTTTTTAACTGTTTCTATAAAAGAGGAATAAAAATCTATTTTTGGCCAACTTGAAAATGATTTTTTTGCGTGGATTTGGCGGGAAGCTTGAAGTCTAATTTTTTATAGTCACATTTTTTTATTGTTTTTACCTATTTCTGAAGGTGTTTTAATAATTTTTGCAAGTCTCTATCAAGTCACATTTTCGAAAAATTCGCTCTATTTTGAACTATTCATTTACTGAATTTGTTAAAATTAAAGTTAATTACCTTTTGCCAAACATCCTTTTCGTCTTTCAAGTATCCAAAATTTGACTGAATCGATTCGATTTTAAGATTGCAAAGGTGTTTTGAGCATTTTTCACGTCTTTTAATTGAGTTGAACTTTGCCAATCTGCTCATTTCTCCTTGGAAGTTCCCGGAAATTGACTGAAACGATTCGGTTCCAAGATTTTTGAGGGTGATTCGCCTTTAAGGTCTTTTCATCGAGTTAAACTTTGCCAATCCCCTTTCAAATCGGCAAAAAGATGATTTTTAGGGACGATCCGCGCGAATGGAGGCTCGACTGTTGGCCACCAAGGCCATCCGAGAAGCTCGCTTTTCGCGGCGATGGACAGCACGACGACGGTGGCGAGCATGGGCAGCAGTGGAAGCGGCGGCGTCGCGTCGCGTGGCCATCATTCGTCGACGGACTCGCGGCCCGATTCGCCGGGACTCCCGCTGCCGCCGCCGCAGCTCTCCGCGCAGTCTCAGCACTACGGAGGGTACATCCCGCCTGGCACTATGAACGGCCATCGGGCCTTCACCTCTGGGGGTGAGGAGGAGATTTTTGGATTCAGGAGGCTGTACACTGGATATTAAATTCAAAGTACAACAATTCTTGATTTTTTTTTTAATCTTTGGAATTAACGTTAAAATATCTTTCATCCTCTAAAAACTAAAGCTGAAGTTAGTTTACTCGTAAGCCTTTCAAGCTCTAAGATTTCCCTAAACCACTTGAATTCATTATTTTCAGTTATATCTTTTGCAGCAGAACTTCCGCCACCTCCGGATTCTCTCCTCCGGTCGATCCACGAAGACGAACTGCCGCCTCCGCCGCCGCCGGCCTCCAGTTACGGCGCCGTGAGAAGCATCGGCTCGCACAGCAGCGGCACCATCGGAGGAGCCGATCTGCCGCCTTTCGGCATGACTCCCAGCGAGGCGTCCCTCACGGTCAACAACTTCTTCGACAGTACGGCTGGATGGGTGCCGCCGGACGAGTATATGGAGAAAGGTTGGTTAGAGTTTTGAATGAGGAAGGGGACGGCTTTTTAAATATTAGAATATATTGCCCGGGAGACCAGGTTGGCGTAGAAAAGTCCCTTCGAGCCGCCAGAAAAGGACAATAATTCGATTAAAAATTCTCAGATTTCTGTTTCAAGGTTCAGAAGCCTTCCATGACCTTAAGAATACTGAAAAAGACTTCCAGTCTTGATAAACTCAGAAAAAAATTAGTCCATAAATAAATTAAAGTAAAACACCAATTTTTCGGAAAAATTATTTTTTTCTAGTCCAGCAAACATGACTGAACTTGAATTAACTGCATATTTGAGAAAAATTTCTTAGATTTATAGGAAGAAAAAAAGCCGCGAAAAAAATGGCGAAGTTTCAATCGAGCGGGTTTTGAGGAGAAAAATCAAAAAATATTTCTCGTTTCTTTTGGCAATAATTTTGAAATTTTCTCCTTACCAGAGTCCGATTTTTAAACTTTTTGGGTCTTTGTTTATTCATCTCTATAAATTAATTTCATAGAAAAAAATTACACAAAACTAAATCTTTTTCAAAATGAGGGTAGCAACTTTCAAGAAGGCCTCGAAACAGGGAAGCTGGTTTTCGTTGTCAAAAGAATTTCTTGCGTTTGAAAAAAACTTCCTGGAAATGAACTTTGAACTTTGAGGATACCCGGTTTCAGAAAAAAAATCACATTCCAAATGGCCTCAAAAAGTAGAATCTAGAGCTTATTTTTGAGTTCCTAAAAAGCTGTCAACATTTTCTCCGAACTTCCTTTTTTCCGCTTTTTTTTTCAAAAGATCCTTTTCTGAAAAAATTCAAGAATATAAGCAGCCTGCGAGGCCTTTTTTTAAAGTTCTTTTTGCTTCTTTTGGACTTTGCCTCTGGAAGGACCAAAAAAAATTTTTGGAAAAAAGGCCTTAAAGGCGCCTTTTCTTTTTGACCTTTTTCTGAAAAGGAACCTTTAAGTGGGAAAAAAAGAAGACGGAAAGAAGGGGTCCCTTTGACACCTTTCGAATTTCGAAAAGGGACACTAGACTTCTTTTTGAGGTCGTTTGGACGTTGCCTGCTTTCTGAACTTTTCCCGTGCTATATAATATTCTTTACCTTCTCCCAAAATCCATTTTCAGCCTTGGTCCTGTACGAGTACGTTGCCAAGAAGTTCGATGAACTAACTTTGCGAGAAAATGCCGTCGTCTACGTGTTGAGAAAGAACGAAGACGGCTGGTTCGAGGGCGTTTTGGACGGAGTTACCGGCCTTTTCCCTGGAAACTATGTCCAAACTATCATGTGAACCTGATGAATATTCTTTTTTTGCTTTATTTCCATGCATTTTAGTCGGTTTTGAGCTCATAATTCCATTTTTAATCCTATAATTTTTGCTTCTTCGTCTTGTATCTTAAAGCTATATTTTTGAAAATTCACGATTGAAAATCTTATTTTCTATTCAAAAATCCTTCTCGAGGTGTCTCGTATAATTATAAGTAGATCTGAAAACGTCTCTTCCTCTTGAGACCCTATTTTTTAAAATTCTTCCATACTCGTTTAAATATCAAAAAAATTATTTTTTTAAACATGGTTGAGAAAAAAATCAAAAAAATTTCATTTACCGACCGTAAATCTGTATTTCTCAAATCTTTTGGTTTTTTTTTTGTGTGTGTGTGTGCAATTTGTCTCTCTTTCTCGATTGTATATAGTTAGTTCATTAAACATTTATTCTCCTTATTTTATTTCAGTTAATTTATACTGTTATGATTGCTTGCCTCCTTCTTAAGCTTATTTCAGTTCTCTGCTGCTTTTTCTCTCTAATTTTTGCCGTTTTATCATTTCGAACTTCAACTTCGTGTAGTTTAATTTCACGTGTAAATGCATTAATTTTTGCTTTTTCTTTTCCTCGAAACAGTCCTGCTTTGATTGCAATCTGCTCACCTATTATGCGCTGTGATATTTTCTACTTGACATGTTTAATCCTTTTTTTTCGAGTGTGACTGATAAATGAGCATTTTTAGATTGAAGAAATCGGCATAGATCTCGAAGGACCAAAGTTTAGGAGAAGTATCAGGAAAAACAAGGCTTCAGTTTCTCATCAGAAATAAATTACATCGAAATTCCTATTCCCAATAAACAATTTACGAATACTAACTATATCTTGGGACCGAGAAACACGATGAGAACATTTTTTGTTTAAATAGCGAAGGGGAAATTCTAGATAACAGTTTCTTCTTCTTTTCTGTGTAGTTCTTTTCATTTATTTTTGTTTTTGTAGAAATTTATCGGTCAAAAATTTCCCGAGGCTTTTTTATCGTCTAAAAAGCAACTTTGCAGAAGATGAAGCTGTTCCTGATGCTTCTTGTGGCTCTCTTCGCCCTACTTTCTGAAGCCAAACCTTCTGGAGGCCCTCGTCACTCCACCGACAGCCCCTTGCCTCAGAGAAAATGCACGATAGGCATCTGCAAAACTTGGAAACCGAAAACAACTTCCCATAAACCTAATATTATATTCGATTAAACTTATCAGTCTTTTTTCCGTCTTTGCTGAGAAGCTTCTTCCGTCGGAATCTGCCGACTTGCAAGAAAAGTGTTCCCCTTGTGCAGACAGACATCAAAAGCGAATTGAGAAAGATGCGAACAAAAATGAAAGATAAGAATATACAATTTTAAACAAAAAAGAGTAATCAATAAAAAAGCATGTCTTTTGAAGAGCTTGATCTGAACCAACAGCAATTGATTTGAAAATAATGTTTATTACTGCTACAAAGTTGTTGAAAATCTTTTTAGCCATGCCTTTACCCCTCTCAACCCTCAATAAAAACACAAGGACTTCAAAACATTTTCATTGATTTGTTTTGAAAATTATTGTAAAAAAAACCTGGATGATGAAGAACCGTTCAGATTTAAAAAAAACTCTTGTTTTCATTCTTCTTTTCGTAGAAATGACGTCATTCTGAAGCAATCTGAAACCAAAAAAATGAAAAAAAGTTCAAAAATCCAAATTTCAAAAACGAAAAAAATCTAGATTCTTCATTATTCGCTTCAGAAGCATGCTTTAATTTTCAACGGCTTCCTCGGATGATCCTCGGAAAAAAATCATATAATCAAGCAGGAACAACCTTATTCGAATAATCACGAGCGAATTTATAAGAATTTTTCCCATTTTCCTATCGCATTTTAAAAAAAACCAATGGAATTTGTCTGACAGTACTAATTATCCCTACGAAAAGTAGAAGAAGTCAAAATTTTGAGAAAATCTCTGTTTTCCGAAAAAAAAATTGAAACTAATCGGTCCATGGAAAACTTCTGGTCATGGGAATGAAAATAGACATCCTTTCCCTTCTGTTAAAAAAAAATTCATTTTTCTCCTTTTGGCCGCACGTGGAATGGTTCAACTGTATTAATGTCGCTTTTTACAAATTTATCAACGTCGCGCAAGTCGTTTTTGGTTTATCCCACTTCAATATTTAAACTTGCGTTGGTCATTTTTCAGAAAATGAAGCTTCTCCTCATTTTCGCCGTTCTTTTCGCCCTACTTGGTCAAGCTTTCCCGGCTCATTTTTCCGGTCTTAATAGAAAAAATCGTCAAACGCTCTGCACACCAGAACTACTAACACAAGGAAAAGAATGCCTTGATTGGTTTTAGAAAAAAAGAAGTTCAGCATTTCTGATTACAGTATTTATCAATAAAAAGTTTGAATTTCCGTTTGGAGAGTGTGATCAAAACAGAAAATGCTTCATGTTGAATTGCATCGAAACGAATAAAATGGCGATTTTTAAAAAAATAAAAAAAATTGGAAAAAAATTTTTCATCCTCCACCCCACCAATATAAAATTTTTCCTTTTCTAAAGAAAAAAATTGAAAAATAGTCAACTCATCGCGTTCACTTCGCTATTAAGTTTGAGTTTTCCTTCTAGACCGCAGGCCCAATTTTCAAATTTTTTCATTTGCATGCAAAAATTGCATACGGAAAACTTGAATTTTAAGAAAGCTCAAGCTATCAGATCTCATGGAGCTACCGATTAAAATTTGGTTCACGACGCAATTACAAAAAGCAAAAAAAGCGAAATTTACTTGAAAGTGAAAAAGAAAAAGGGAAAAAAATGTTTGTGAAAATAAAAAAATTTTTGCTCTGTTCATTGGTTATGCAGACCGGGCATCCTTTTTTTCTGCATTTTTTTACTTTGAAAGGCACGATCTGTTTATCTTTAAAAATTCAAATTTTTTTCAGTCTGTTTTTCTTTTTAAACTTTTTCCATTTTTCACAGTTCCTTTTTGAAAAAGAAAAAAATACTGTAATGGTGTTTTCTGGAATTTTTTTCGTCCAACTTCAATTTTTGAACTGTAAAACGGTAACAAAGGGAAAATGAACTGAATTGTAAGAAAGGAGACTCCTTTCCATTTTTGTCGTTGTATGCGCTTTATTTGGTCAAGTCGAACTTTTTACGTCAAAAAAATAGATGGAAGTGATTCGATTGGTCCCGTCATGAAGAAGAAAAAGTTTTTTTGTTCCAAAATTCTGAAGATGTAAAAAAACAAAAAAATTATCACAATGGCAATTTTTATGATTTTTCCCTTTTTTTAGTGAAAAATCTTCGACTGCCTTGATTGTTCCCCAATCAAAAAGTATTTGCACTTTCTCCAACTTGAAAAAAATTGAAATTTTATTAACTTTTTTTCGCTGATTAGGAATAAACGCCCTTTTTGGCATCTCTCGCTTGCTTTTTTTGAAACAATCAGCTCGCTGATATTTTTGGTAGACGGTTGCATGGCGATCCGTATAGCTCAGCTTGACGAAGAAGGGCGAACAGAACGACAAAAGTAGGAGGAGCTTCATTTCCTGAAGTTTAGCCGTTTTAAATATGTTTTCATTTCGTTGAAATAAAAAAATTCTCGATTCTAAATGAGAAAATACACGAAAAGATACAAAAAAGACCGACGGACCCAAATGGATTTTGATAGAAACCCTTTACAGGAAAGTCGTTCAAAGTTGTAAGTGAAAAAAGTGTTCAGCCATTCCACGTGCGGCCAATTGAATACTGGAAAATGTACATTTTTCCAAATATCAGACGTTATTTTTCTTCTTTTTCGTGTTCCCATAAAAAAATATTAAATACAACTTTTTCTTCTTGAGAAACAATAAAACTTCATCACATTTTCTTTTTTTCTCATAAAACCACCTCAAGGAAATATTATTTGTGAAACTATCAAACAGTATTTTTCAGGTGATTGAATTGAAAACTGGGCTGAGATGATCAGAATCCATGGGAACAGTGTTTCAGAAAAATGTATTTATTATTTTTTTCGATGAGATTTTTCTACACAATTTTTTTCCAAATAATTATTTTTCTTGTTTGAAAATGAGAATGACCCCTCCATGACCTTTTCTTTTTTCTTTTTTTTGTCCTTTCGAAAGTTCTGATTATCATGATTATTGCTGATAGTTGTTCAACAGTCTTTTTCTTTTTTTTGTGCTTCATCCAAGTTGTGAAGATTTTATTGATATTGCTTTTTTGACTAAGCATATATGTCTTGTTTGGCCAGTTCCTTTTGCTCCTTGAAACATTCATATCTCTCTGACTCCGGTAGATGGATACAAGGCGAGATGAATTGCTCAGATTGGCCAAGTAGAACGACAAAAAGTAGGAGGAGCTTCATTTCCTAAAAATAGTTTTTTTTATATTTTCAAGTGCATATTCAATCAAAAAAGCCTCGATTCCAGTTTTCTAAACCTTCAATATTAATAAAAGGTTGAAAAAAAGGCAAGGAAAATGTGATAGCGTTATAAAACGCTTCTGAAGAAAAAAAGCGAGCCATTCTCCTTGTGACCAAGAGAAGACTGGAAAAAGTGAACATTTTTGATTTCAGCCGCTATTTAAAGCCTTTCTGGCCTTCCCATCAAACGATTAAAGGCAAACTTAACATGGAAAACAAAAGAAAGATTCAATTTTTCACAAAATCACGCCAAGATTACATTTCTCGTCAACCACTAAAATCGTATATATATATACAGTACCGCTCAAAAGTATATTAAGTTTTTGGTTTTTTTGAGGATATCTCAGCGAGTACTTATCCGATTTATATATAACTTTCAGGGATAATGTAAAATATACTTTGAAACATATATGGTATACAAAGACATGTCCGCAATCACTGTGACGCGTTTTAGGCATTTTTTATCGAATTCAATTCTTTTTGTTTTTTATTTTTTTATTTTTATTCATTTTTATCAAATTTTTTAAAAGTAATAATGTTGCCATATGCTTTCTTTTCATGTTTTCAAACATGGGAAGAACCTCTGAAAAAAAGGATTTGACTGATAACGACAAAAGAACCATCGTTGTGGGTCGTCAAAATGGACTGACCATGATGACGTTGGCAGGAATGTTCGGCGTGACAGAGGCGTGCATTTCTCAGTTCCTAAAGCGTCGGAAAGCTCAAGATGGCTCTACTAAGAACCAACGAACTGGAAGACAACGTTTCACTGATCGTAATGACGATAGAAACATTTTGAAGACGTCTAGAACCAATCCAAGACTCACCGCCCCTGCGATCAGACGGGAAGTTTTCTTGAATTCGCCATCTCCGCCATCCGTCTCGACCGTGAAACGACGTCTGAATGCTGCTGGAATCATGGGAAGACGTCCAGTGAAGAAACCGCTGATTCCTGAAAAGAATCGAGTCGCCAGGGTGAAGTGGGCGAAGGAGCATCTCAACTGGACCCGTCAAGACTGGAACAAGATTCTGTGGTCCGACGAAACGGTCCTCCACCATGTTTCACAGTGGGTAATTGGTATTTTGGATGATATCTGGACTCAATTGGTCCACGAACCCACTGAATTCCGTCACTCCCGAAGAGGAGGAACTTGCTTTCGTCGGACCACAGGATCTTGTTCCAGTCTTGACGGATCCAGTTGAGATGCTCTTTCGCCCACTTCACCCTGGCAGCTCGATTCTTTTCAGAAATCAGCGGTTTTTTCACTGGACGTCTTCCCATGATTCCAGCAGCATTCAGACGTCGTTGCACGGTCGAGACGGATGGCGGAGATGGCGAATTCAAGAAAAATTCCCTTCTGATCGCAGGGGCGGTGAGTCTTGGATTGGTTCTAGACGTCTTCAAAATGTTTCTATCGTCATTACGACCAGTGACACGTGGTCTTCCAGTGCTTTGGTTCTTAGTAGAGCCATCTTGAGCTTTCCGACGCTTTAGGAACTGAGAAATGCACGCCTCTGTCACGCCGAACATTCCTGCCAACGTCATCATGGTCAGTCCATTTTGACGACCCACAACGATGGTTCTTTTGTCGTTATCAGTCAAATCCTTTTTTTCAGAGGTTCTTCCCATGTTTGAAAACATGAAAAAAAAGCATATGGCAACATTATTACTTTTAAAAAATTTGATAAAAATGAATAAAAATAAAAGCATAAAAAACAAAAAAAATTGAATTCGATAAAAAATGCCTAAAACGCGTCACAGTGATTGCGGACATGTCTTTGTATACCGTATATGTTTCAAAGTATATTTTACATTATTCCTGAAAGTTATATATAAATCGGATAAGTACTCGCTGAGATATCCTCAAAAAAACCAAAACTTAATATACTTTTGAGCGGTACTGTATATAACTTCTTAAAAAGAGGATTCCTGAAGACTCTTTTTATTTTAAACAAAACTCATTTTTTTGATGATTTTTGGTAGACTCTAAACTTCAAATAATTTTTTTAGCGTGATTAGCTATGCTGTCGGTTCAAAAATGATTTTAAAAAAATAACTTTTTCCGTCGAATGAAATCTCAGGCGAGAGGGGAAATGAAGATCCGCCACTTGGGAGGTACACTTGACATAATGATTATAATTTTTCGACGTGCTGAATAAATCTTCAACGGCTCTAGAAATGTACCTCTAAATTCTGAGCTCGTCAAGGCGCAACTGAACGGACTACGCACAGAAAAACGAGGCGAAGGACCGTAGGACCATGTTTTCAACTTGATCAACTACACGTGTGGACTTCTTGTTCGCCAAAGACGATTATTCGTTGTATATTTGAAGGTTCTTGTTCCGCGCCTAGTCGGTTATATCTGACTGAAACAATAAAATCAATGATTGATTGAGGATTTATGCAACGTTTTTGAATCAATGGTTCTTATTGTACAAGAAAATGTAAAGACTTTTCGAATTTTTCGTTCCTGATTTTTTTATCGGTTTAAACGAAATCTTCTGAATTTCGTGATTCTTTCGTAGTAGAAGTTCAATAATCCATTTCTTCATCGTCTTAATCATTAATTTGTGCTTTATTCAATTTGTAAAAGAACATCTTTATTGATTTTAACAGTGTTGACTAGTGATGGAAGCCTTTTCCGAGCCATTCCTGTTGTCTCTGATAACAATCCTCTCTGTGCGATTCCGGTAGACGGTTGCAAGGCGAGAGGAATTGCTCAGATTGGCCGAATAAAACGAAAAGGACGACGAAAAGTAGGAGGAGCTTCATTTCCTGAAAAATAGTCTATTTTATATTTCCAAGCTTTTTATTTCGGCAGAAAAGCCTCGGACTCCAACACTAAACTTTTATAAATTGATAGAAAACTGCAAAGGCCAGAAACGATTTGAGAAATTTTTTGAAAGATGTGATAGCGTTACAAAAAGACCCTGAACAAAAAGCGAGCCATTCTCCATGCGGCCAACAGAAGACTGGAAATGTGAATATTTTTTATTTCAGCCGCTTTTCAAAGCTTTTCTGACACTCCCATCAAACGATTAAATGCAAATTTGTTCATGGGAAACACAACGGAGATTCAAATGTTTCATAAATCACGTCGAGAATACATTTTTTTTTTCGGGTTTTTTTTGACCGAAATAAAAAAAAATGCAAATGATTAATTTTTTCAAAATATTTTCCATCATCAGCAATGATATCGGTTCAACAATGATTTGAAAAAAATCTTATTCCGTCGAATGAAATCTCAGGTGAGAGTGGAAATGAAGACCCGCCACTTGGAGGTACACTTGACATAATAATTATAATTTTTCGACGTGCTCAATAAATCTTCAACGGCTCTAGAAATGTACCTCTAAATTCTGAGCTCGTCAAGGCGCAACTGAACGGACTACGCACAGAAAAACGAGGCGAAGGACCGTAGGACCATGTTTTCAACATAATCAACTACACGTGTGGACTTCTTGTTCGCCAAAGACGATTATTCGTTGTAGATTTGAAGGTTCTTGTTCCCCGCCTAGTCGGTTAAATCTGACTAAAACAATAAAATCAAATTCACTGAGGATATATGTGACGTTTTCGAATCAATGGTTCTCATTCATCATCATCAATATCAATCAATATTCATTGGTTGTTGGATTAAAAGCATGGTCTTACGGTCCTTCTCCTCGCTCTTCCACAAGTAGATCCCTCAGTTTCGCGGGTACGGGCACGGACGCCGTGTACACTTTAGGGTAGTCTCGGCCGATTGAGAGAGCTACCACTTCGAGTGAAGAAAATACACGGAATTGTACAAGAAAATGTAAAGACTTTTCGAATTTTTCGTTCCTGATTATTTTATCGGTTTAAAATCTTCTGTGTTTCGTGATTATTTTGTTGTAGAATTTCAATGAGCCAGACTGCATCACTGTACTTTTATCTTCCATGAGTGCTTTATTCAATTTGTAAAAGAACATCTTTATTAATTTCAACACTGTTGGCTAAAAATGTATGCCTCTATCGGCAAGTTCGCTTTCCCACTTATAACACTCCTTGCTCTGCGATGCCGGTACACGGTAGCAAGGCGAGATGAATTGCTCAGATTGGCCAAGTAGAACGAGAAGGACGAGAAAAAGTAGGAGGAGCTTCATTTCCTGAAAAAATAGTTTTTTTTATATTTTCAAGTACATATTCAATCAAAAAAAAGTCGATTCCAGTTTTCTAAACCCTTATTAATAATGAAAGGTGAAAAAAGGCAAGGAAAATGTGATAGCGTTATAAAACGCTTCTGAAGAAAGAGCGAGCCATTCTCCTTGTGACCAAGAGAAGACTGGAAAAAGTGAACATTTTTGATTTCAGCCGCTATTTAAAGCCTTTCTGGCCTTCCCATCAAACGATTAAAGGCAATTTTCACAATGGGAAACAAAACGTAGATTCAAATGTTTCATAAAATCACGTGATTTTAGAGCGAACGCCTCCCATCTCCGAGGGAGGGACGTGGAGCAGCCCAAGTGCGTTTGCATACAGTTTTGATGTCGCGTGTTCAATGCTCGTAGCGGTCGTTTTTTTTTAATGAAAACTTTTGTCTTCAAACTTGTGGCTTTTATACTATTTTTAAAAACTTATTATGACTTTAAAAAAATCAAACTTAACTACTCAGAAGTTTAAACCCGATATAAAAAAACAAAATTAACGACCGAAAGTGTAAAATCTAAACTTTCAGTACTAAATTTTGCGACTTTTTTCACTACTGTTTTGACCATAACTTTCTTTGTTTTCAACCTTTTTTGAAAAACTAAACCGTATTGAATAGTAAATTGGAGCAACTATCCAGTCATAGCAATATTGAAGTTCGAAAAGTTTTATGAAACTTTGGTTGCGGTCCCCAAATAAAGTATTGAAGAACGCTGCAAAAATACTTCAGAAGAACCCATTCGGCTCGACAGCCTCTTCGGCTTGTTCAGACGGCTTCTTATTTTTCGAACTTCTCATTCATTCCAATTTGGAATCGACTCTGCTCTAGATATGACCTCAACATTTCGGCGACCAGCCCTAGAAGGATCCTCGACTTGCTCGACAGCAACGAATTGTACGCGAACGTGCCGGCCAGACTCCTTTAGGAAATTTCTTCACTCAATCACATTAAATTACGTGTATAAGTCCCGGTATCTGCACTCGTCGGCGTGCTGGAAATTCGGATTTTATTTATTTCCATTCACCTCAGCTTTGGTGTCCATCGATTGTCTCCTGACTTGTCACTGATGAAATGTTTTTGAATGAAAAAAATCACTATATTCTGTGTGCCACGACTTGAAATTTCACCGAACGACATTTCGATGTTCCGCTGCGTGCGGTCGCTAATCGTTTTTGCCGTTGCAAACTTCTCTTGCGCTTTTTTTTTAGTTATCATTGCTGGTAGATAGACTGTTCTACTGGGAACACGTAAAAATCAAGTACTGAAATAAAAGAAAAAATTGGAAACGCAACCGAGATTTTTAAAGGCGAAGACGCTTCGCGACCGCACGCAGCGGAACAGTGGAATTTCGTTCAGGGAAATACCAAGTCGTGGCACACGGACTATACTATAAAAAAATTGATTGAGGATTTCTGTGACGTTTTTCGAATCAATGATTATTTTTTTGTACAAGAAAATGAAAAAGAATTTCTTTAAAGAGATTTTTGGTTTTTTTCGGTTCAAACGGAATCTTCTGCGTTTCGTGATTATTTTTGTAATGGAATTTTATTAAACCAGATTGCTTCATTGTCTTTATCATTAATTTGTGCTTTATTCAGTTTGTAAAAGAACATTTTTATGAATATTAACACTGGTGACTAGTAATGCAAGCCTTTTTCGGCCCATTCTTGTTCCCTCTTCATACAATCAGCTATGGCGGATTCCGGTAAATTATTCCGGATAAATAAACTGATGCAAGGCGAGATGAATTGCTCAGATTGGCCAAGTAGAACGAGAAGGACGACAAAAAGTAGGAGGAGCTTCATTTCCTGAAAAAGAGTCTTTTTTTATATTTTCGAGTACATTTTCAATCAAAAAGTCGATTCCAGTTTTCAAAACCCTTATTAATAATGAAAGGTGAAAAAAAGGCAAGGAAAGTGGGATAGCGTTATAAAACTATTCCGAACAAAAATGCGAGCCATTCTCCGTGCGGCCAAGGGAAAACTGGAAAATGTGAATATTTTTGATTTCAGCTGCTATATAAAGCTTTTCTGACCTTCCCATCAGATGATTATTGCAATTTTTTTCTGGGAAACAAAAGAAAGATTCTAATTTTTTTCATATGATATCGTCAAGAATACACTTATTGTGAACCAGTCTGAATAACTGAGAATTGAAAAGGAGAAAAAGGTTGTTGATTCCGAACTGCAAATATCAATTATATTATGGTTAATTTTCAACTTAGCAACTTTATGCGCTCAAAAACTAAATCCTCATCCACTGCGTTTTCTTCTCGTTCATCTGGAGTCCGATCTTCTGTCTAGATCGTTGAGCATGGTCGGAGGTGTTGTTGGCGAAGAGGACGATGTCGTCGGCGAAGCGAAGATTTGTTAAGGTCTTGCCGTCGATGTTAATGTCTTCGATATCCGCTTCCAGTCTGTTGGAACCCTGAAAGCTGGGATACACCTGAAGTTTGGCTACGAACATCTGTGCATTGGAACGTACGCCCCTGAATGGAAAACAGAACAGACGAGCACAGACCTCCGTCAGCGGTCCCAAATCCAGGACCTCGAAGAGCACATTCAACGGGGGAAGCATCGCTGGGGAGGCCACGTCATTCGCAGACAAGATGACCGCTGGTCGACGAGAACGACCCACTGGACTCCGAGAAAAATCAAGCGCCCACCGACCAGATGGACGGACTGCTTCCGCAAGAACATCAGTCAGCCAGGCCGCCACTGGATGACCGTCGCGCAAGACCGAGCCGCCTGGAGAACGTGTGGTCCACGCTGAGAACATCAGCGAAG